TACTTTCATTCCAGTTCCGGGTTATTGTTTCTGTTTTGAAAAGGTTTATCTTGAATCCTAGCCCTTGGAACACTTGGTAGAAAGTGTTGATTTTCTGTTTAAGATCCTTCGTATCCAAACTATGAATACCTACGTCATCAGCATAGCCCCCTCTCCTCATCATCGGTACATTAGCATCGAGAGAGAAAGCGGCATCGTTGTCTTCTATTGGTAGATTCGTTTGAGACGTGGTATGGAATGCCATGACCAGTGCCCATATCTTCACATCTGTGTTTGTAAATGCACAGAGCATAGCCCAGGAAAAGAAAGCTAAAATAGACCGGGGCTTTCGTTTCTTTCTTGTATGCCTGATGAGGGTTGAAATGTATTGCGGTTCTCGTCAGACATGTAAGATTTTGTAGGTTGATGCGGTTCCTCTATTAGGTCGATGCATTCAGTGAATTCGGAGCTTGGAAGGCGGTTTCTAATGAATAATAATAATAAGTCTCCATTAATGTGGTCATAGGCTGCTGTGCGGTCGAGAAAGCAGATATATTGTTTTCTATTAGAGAGGTAAGTAATTTCTTGGTATTGTTTAACGGCATATATGCCATTACTTCTCTTCAGTCAGTTATGTGCCATGCGTGATACATGCTTACGCAATCATCTATCTTTCGATACATGACTGACGAAGCAGATTTTTCCCCCAGTGGGTTGCCATTTTCAACGTCACAGAACCCGGTCTATCCTGGGTGGGGGGGATATTCATACCTTTCCCAAGGTTATTAGCGCGTAAGTGAATGTAATGGACTCGACTGGAATTCGAACTCGGCTCTCTGATTCCTCAATTCATTACTCCACGAAACGAAATTCGTGAGGAATTGACTTTCATGAAAGAGCCTACATAATATAATATGATGGATTCAATTGAGATACTTCTGTATATGTGAGGACCTTTCTGTTTCCATAGTGTATTAATGAGTGATAAACCCCAATTTTTGAGGATGTATTGGTGATTTCAAACTTTTTTCATAAAATAGAGAAACGTGTTATTGAATCTGAGGTATTCTGTGAATTGAGAATATTTCAGATATTGGCCTAGTATGAATCCTACTCCTCTTTCATTTTTTATCCGCCTGCGTATATGATCGTCTATCCATCGCTTCCGAAATCCTTATTATTTGTCCATCTAATTCCATATACTCCTAGAATTTTATTGTTTAACCTATTCTATTCTATTATTATACTACAGAATAATTAATTCATAGTAATTTATAGTAATATTTTAAATCATATTAAAGAGAGATTTTCAATATAATAGCTAATACAGTTGCTTTAAACTGTCAATCACCCATATAAATAAAATATTGCATTGTTTGTCTGAGAATGACAGCAATGTAAATAATTTTTTAAGTGCACAATGAAATAATACTCTTAGTGTGAAATTGAAATAGAAAAAAATTATCTACAAAAATATGTTACGTAGAAGTGAAAATGAATGTATAGGTTTGCTCAAAATATTCTTTTGAGTACCTAAAGAAATTAAACTAAGTTTTAAAAAAATATTTGTAGTGATAGAAAAATAAATAAATAAAAATAAATAATCAATAACAAGGAGGACAATATTTAGCCATCTCTAAAAATAGATATATAATCAGAATCGCCAGGACACAAAGCCATATTTCGACCAACCAATCAGAATATAAGAAGAAAAAAACAAATAAGAAGGATACCAAATTTTTACCATCTCTAAAAATAGATGTATATTCAGAATCACAAAATCATATTTCAACCATCAGTATATGAGGCCGCGAGCCAATGAGAATTAAAGCGGCACTTTCAAAGCGGGTCTCTAGAGATGTATATAACTAGATGGAAAATCAACCAAAAACAGAATCGATAAATAAATTTTGTCCATTTGCCGATGCTGCAGTCACCGTAATATAACCAAATCCGAAATGCGAATAACTGGTGACCTGAGACAGCTAAACCGTCCTGATACATTTAAAACATACATCTTTTCTTTCTCCACCTATTAAGCAGCCCACTGATACATTTGAAAACAGATATACATTCCTTCACCCACATTCTTAAGCAGGCGGTTACTATTTTTGGATATTTACTTTTTCTCTCATCCTCCTTCTTATGCACTAGGACTTTTACACTTGAACTTTTGAAAACTTCAGCTTTCACTTTATTCTACTGAATTATTATACTGTGTTATATAAAGATTTATTTTGTAATTTTCAGCACTGTATGCATGTTCTTTTAATCACTGCACAAGTCCAATATCCGCCCAAACCAGCGGACGAAGAAAGAAAGAAAGCGAGAGAGGAAACAAAACGAAAGAGAAGGAGAGAGGAAGAGAGAAGAAAAGAGAGTTAAGAAACCAGGTAAGAGAGAGAGAGAGAGAGAGAGAGAGAGAGAGAGATGATAGTGACACTGATAATGCAGGTAATCCATATCCTCCTTCCTCATCATTTGCCATTAACTGTTAACAGACGTTGTCATAAGATAACATCTACTAATCCGCCATATATTTATAACAGAGTGCGGTCTTACAACTGTATTTGATTTTATAAAAGTCCTTGGTAGATAGTGTAAAATATCAGCGAAGTTCACAAAGTGCTTAGACGATCCAATGAAGAGAAAATGTAGGATCATCAGATTGTGTAGTAGCGGGTGCGTCCGCTTGTTGAATGGAAGGAGTTGCAGAATTATTGTCATTTGTGGAAAACATTCAAAAATTGATATTGACTTGTAGAGTTATAATTAAAGAGAGTAGTTTACCTTCATATTATTAAAGAAAACTTGGTTTAGTTGTGTTCGTTTCAGGCAAACACTTTCAAAATTATGTTTTTAAGTTTTGTTGTCCCGAAATTCTTGATGATTTACGGGTATCTCAAAACTTAGTGACTTCTTTTCTCAACATACTGTTGGAATTACTTGCTCTGCTGACCTACATATCTCTTTGATTACTCACTCATGAACCGCAAATAGTGACTAAACCTATTGACAGTCTCCCTTATATACACCCCGACCAACTCGATAAACTACTTTAAATTGTCTCGGATTTCAAATTCCGTAGTTTCAGCAGCTCGTTTCAGGAAAATAAACCAGAATTATTAAAGTGTGTAGTTTTAACATAGTCCTGAAAAGGAAATATTCATACAACAGATTAAATAATCTGATACAAAATAATATTAAAAAATTTTTAAGACAAAGGTAAGAGAATTTGTTGCTCACCGAAGGGATATATGGTTTATATACGTTCAAAAGTGAACGAAAAGAAATAGTTTGAAATAATTAGCTTTCTTGGACTGTCGAGAGAAAATTCTTTGAAACATGCTGGTTAGCGACCAATAATATAAGTGGCGAGTAATTTTACACTGGCGAGTACTTCAACGTTCGTCGCGAGGGACTGAAACAAACTCTTTCACGTGACTTCAGACACTCCTTGATTTTTTAATTTTTCTCCTCATTTTATATCAAAAGGAATTTCGCGTAGGCTCGCTGCTTTTTTCTTCTTCTTCTCGGCTGACTGGTTAATTTCTGTGAAAGTAAAGTGTTCATCGGTCCTGTAGTGGGGTTAACTGCCACCAACAAAACGGGTTTACTAATCTGTAAAGGGGTGATGAAAATGCGATTAACTCCCCACTCCTTTTAATTTCACAAATGTAACAATAAGCAAGCAAACAATAAGAGAAACAACGATATCAAACAATACTTTGGTTCAACAATAAATATTTATTATATATGACCAATAGAAGGTTCAAAATTGTATGTTGAGAGTTGTTTAAATTGCTTCAAAGTTTTTCCTTGTGTGGATTGAAGTGTTTATTAAGATACTATATGAAAGACTGAGAGTTGAGAAATTTTGTGTATAAAAATGGGTTTGATAAAGTATTTTTTTGTTTGTAGGAAAATTAAACAGTTTGTTTTTGGTGTTGAATTTTGTAATATTGTACTCGACTTAATGTTCTGTGTATGAAGTTGTCTATTTGATTGAATGTGTCACTTGATGTTTTCTATTGAGTTTATGTAGTTGAGTGAGTGTATTTCGCAAGCTGTAGAAATATTAAGTAAATTTAACTTTAAGCCTGCTAAGATATGTGTCATGGATTCGTGTGTCGTGCTGAGAAAATTCGTAAAACTCACTGTCGAAGTCGAATGATGTTTCGTATTTATTGATGTTTCAAGTCACGTGGGAGGCTCCAAGAAATTTGGCGCAAATTTTGTATCTGCTTAGGATACACACTATGCGTACGTAGTTGAGAACGAATGAAATTATGATTTTTTTTTATTAGCCAGTCAGAAAGTGTTTTTAATTACTTCTCGTCTGGAGCTGATTTTAATGGGTTATTGCTTATTCTACAGTCCAAAGAAACTTTCACATAGGCTCGTGGATTCCTTTCCATCTTCCTTAGTCTTCCAAATTTGGAGTGAGTGGATGAAGGGAGTTATTATTATCTCGCACTCAATACACATCATTGGTTGGAAATATCTTCGCTCTAAAAAATCTAAATAGTAGAAAGGAGCAGAGGATATTTTTTGTTTATCAAATAAATTTGTCAGTCATCACATTTATAACACTTGCTAAGGATAAAATTCACCAACAATGCCCGGTGGGACGGATTACTAAAGCCACAACCTTTTTCAGAGTTCATTTCATAATTAAATTAATTATGAAATGAACTAGAAATTCCTGAAACAATTAATTAAATTAATTGTTTCATGAATTTCTTCATTGTTTGATAGAATAAGACATTGATAAGACATTGATAAAACATGTATTTCTACTGTTTCTAGACATCTAACTCTGATTATAAATGTAAAAACTAGATAAATTATATAAAATCTACGCGTCTATTTTTAGAAGCTTCTTATTTTTTTGTATCGAATTAATTCTATTTTTGTCTTTGTATTTATTTTTAGAAAATTACTATCGATTCATTTCCCATGATCCTCCACTTTTGCCTGACAGAGTTATTGCACTTGATTCACATCCCGTATCAACAATCATGGCGGAGCTGGCTGCGCAACAGAAGTTATTAAAATGTCGAGCGTATTTAGAAGGCAATCCCAGCGATGTGAAGGTAAAAAGATAATCTAATTTGGTTTTCTATATTTTGTGAAACTGCCAGACACCGTTATAATAAGTTTTGGATTGCATTTAAGCGATTTAGTGTCTTCTTCACCATATATAGTTGTATGGCTAAGTTAAAAAAAAGTCAATGTTGGTCTCGCTCGGTACTTAATATCCTTGTTTAATTGCATTATCAACTCAAACAGCTGTTTTTTTTGTTTTGTTTTTTTTTTTTAAAGAATAGATTGGAATTTTTCTTAGTAACGTTTTTTTTTTAATTCCTTTTGATTAAATCTATTATATATAAATTATTTTATATTTGAAATATTTCTTTAATCCGGGTTTTGTTCGTGTTTGTAAAGTCGGTTTCTATTAAATAAAAAAAAAAGTCTTGTTTTTCTTTAAAATTATTACCATGTATTTCTTATCTTCTTTCAATGAAGAAGGAATTCAAAATTTAATTTAGATTGTCTCCCTCAGAAAAAAAAAGAGTACAGACAGATTAATAACAAAAAAATAGCTTACTTTGTTAATTAATTTTCATACTTTTTATAAAGCTACTTTTAAGAGGGAGATTGAATTTTGTTTAATTTATTTTTAACCTTAGGGTTAAGTAAGATTTTAGTTTGTTAGGTGTTGTTATTTATAATATATATATATATATATAAGTTTGGGCCACGCGATTTTATATTTCACTAAAAATGAATTTTTACACTACTAAGCAGTTTTGAATATTTTTACTTTTTGGAGGAGAGGGAAATTCATTCATTTCTTTCTTTTTTTTTTTTTTTTTTTAAAAAAAAAAAGAAGAAAAAGAAAAGTAATTAGAAATAGATTTGGAACAAATTTTTGGGTCGTTTATTATGTGTTGCCGTGCTTGCCTTTTTTCTTCCGTTCAATGTGCACTGATGACCGGTATGCAAGCACTGGGTGAAACTTTTGAAAAAAATGTGACTATTTTTAAAACACGTAACAGACCGACATGGATTTTTTTTCCGATTTTTATTAAAGAAATGCTTTAAACTAGGCTCGATTTAAGAAAAAAAAGAAAAAGAAAAAAAGAAGTGGAGTTGTACAATTATTGCAACCAGAAATAATCATTTTTCTAAAAAAAAATAAGATTATAAGCATTCCACATCGCATAATTAAAAAAAAAAAAAAAAAAATTCGTAATCTGGTGTTCGTTTTTCTTATCGATTTTAAAAACCCCAGATTACAAAAATTAAAAAAAAAATCACGCCGTGTTTGTTTTGGCTTCCGTGGTGGTGGTGGACAATGATTACATACCAAAACGGGACCCCCTGTTAACTTTTAGTCTTACTCTTAGTCTTATTTTATAATTATTTTTTTTTTAATATTCGTGATATTTTGTTTTGTCTTTCCTAGAGTGATCAATTTACAACGAAATTGTGCAATTCAACGTGATGTAGTAACGGTCCGCAAGTTTGTCTTACGAGAGATCAATTATTTACGATAAAAAAAGTAGTGAGTTCGATCCTCACTGGGTGCTCCATACTTGCAACATTGTGCCATCACATCCAAACTACGCTCAGTAAAAAAAAAAAAAAATAAATAAATCAGTTTGCAATTAATTTACGTAGCAAACTGTATCCTATTAACTTTTATAAAATTTTAAATATTATTTTTTTTCGTTATCTCTCCGCCATCCATTTATTTACTCAGGCTCCGTTATGTAGGTTCGTTATGTGTTGTTTTCCTGTCACTTTTTGCCTTCAATCTGATCTGTGGATCTTTCTGCACATTTTTTATTTATGTTATGCAATGAAAAGAACTTATTTAATAAACATGCAAAGGTAAAAATGAAAATTTAGGAAACAACAAATGTCGTACGTAAATAATAGCTGATCACACCTGACTTTGTGGATCCAGTTGACCCATTAAAGATATCCCCCCCCCCGCTCGCCCATCTTGAACTAGATTAAAAACGTCAAGAACTGTATTCATTTTGTTTTTTTGTTTTTTTTAAATTTACAATTTTGAATTTCGGAATATATAAAGTGAAATACAAATACTGCTATTTGTTTTTCATTTCTTAGTCACATTTTTCACCGATTTCGGGAATTACGAAAAATTTCTATGTTGAAATGTTGTTTTTTTTTTTTTTTTTTTTTTTTTACTTTAGTTCTCTTCTTCAGGTACTTCCACTTTTTCGCTGGGGGGAAAAAAAAAAAGAAAGCATAGTATGATGAAAAAGGCTTAAAACAAGTTTTATCATCATTATTTGTTGAAGACTAAAAGGAAAGAAGACCAAAGTTAAAGTATTTTTTATTACGATATTTACAATTTGCATTTAGATACTGGTTACTACACACTTTTGTTTAGTTCATTCTTACAAAATCTCAAACGAAAACTTTAAATTAAAAAAAAAACAACATTAATCCAGAAATTAATCCTATACGAAATTTTCATTAAACTTAAAAAAAAAAAAAATCAACATATTTAGTGCTGTTTTTCTCTCTAGTTGATAATAAATTTTTCTTTTGTTCCTATATCGAATTTAAAGTGAAATACAGAAACAGAATTTAGAGGTAATGATTTAAGGATGAAAAAATAAAAAAAAATGAAAGTCTGACAGTTGTCAGATATTTCCTTGTGTTGGAATTTAAAATCTTAAACAAATAAAAATCTTATTGAATCTCAAATTTTCAAAATAATTTGAGTTTTTAAAGAGAAGTAACCATAAATTAGTATAGAAAATTTTAGCATGTTTTTGAGGTGACAAACACATTGATTTGGAAATTCTTGCAAAAGTCAAATAACTTGTCATATTTTGATGAAACTTTCAGGACTTATTTACAAATAAATTATTTTAGAAACTTTTTTTTTTTTTTTTTTAATAGAAATTCTTGATAAAAATATTTTTTTACATGTTACCCCACTTCATTTATTTAATTTTATGAAATTTTGAGAAATTCATTTTGTAAGAAGACTTAATATTTATACTGATTATCCCTGCAAAATTTTTTTTTTTTTTTTGTAAAACAGGTGCACCAGTTGTAGAAAATCTGCTTTGAATTGTAAAATAAATAATGCAATAAACTAAGACATTATTTAATTAGAAAAACTTTTAATTGCTTTTATGAATAAGATATATTAACGACACAACTGTCATAAAAAAAAAAATTTTGATGAATTTTTACAAGAATTGTTTTCATTTTTTAAAAAAAAAATTTAGAGTAATTTATAAAGTTTTAAATCTTTTAAAATTCTGTATTAGTTTATAATGGTTAGGTGATAAAGGCACTCATGTTTGTCAAGTAATTTTTACAGGCATGTACCTTGTAGGAAAAATGAAATTTCTCAAACATCAGGCTGTCAATAGAGCTGTCAACACCTAACAAAAATACCCACCTCCATGCTAAAAAAATTTTTCTGCCATGTTTTAAACTTAGTGATATTTGTGTTAAATTAATTAAACTTTAAATCAGCTAATCTTCCTCAAATAGAGTTTCAGAAAAGTATATTTTATTTATGAAATATTTTTTGATAAAGAGAATTACATTGTGCTGAGATAATTGTAAATATGGCTAAAATCAACTATTTTTAGCAGTTTCAAAAATTCATTGCAATCAATTTAAATTAGTTTTTGAAATATAGTAAAGTTTTTGCTTATCAGCAATATAAAATTTAATCTATTAGCTTGAAATTAAAACTAAAATAAAAGCTTCAAGTAAGATTTCTTTCATTTTTCAGATTGATAAATAAAAATCTATTACCTTAGAAAATTACTATGTTTATGTTTGGATATGAAACTGAGCAGATATAAAAATTTTGAGGAATTTAATACGAGAAGGATTTCGCTTAAAGACACATTTCAGACTTTGCTTGATTGGCAAGGCTGCTCCATGCCCAAGTCAGTTGAGGCACATTGGATCTAATAGCAGTTTCCTTCTGTCTAGAGAGACACAGGTTCAAATCCTGCCAGAGAGCACATGTTTTTCTTTAATGAGATTTTTTGAATATTCAGACTGATAGATGAAAATAAATATACTATTTAATAAATAAATGGAGCATCTACTCAAATATGGGTATCCACTAAAAATGTTTAAAGTGATATTTACACTATTTACATTGTTTGGACTGTTGTCCTCCTATTTATTGTCATATTCACAACCTTTTGGATGTTGTACACTCTAAACTTCTTCAGGTGATATATACGTTGGAATTTTCAAAGAAGGTTGGAGCATACAATGGCTGAAACATTGTGAATATGACAATAAAGATGAGGGCAACAGTCTGAACAGTGTAAATAGTTACAATACAGATATTGAGATTTATAGAATTAATATAAATAAAAGTTTGATGTTACCTTCAGCATCCTGACTCCTGTGTGTAACAGCAAAATTGTTCAATTTTTAGATTAGGATCTGAACTGTTGTATCTTAGAAATGATTAAAGTTATCTTACTGGAATTCTTTGATGTTTTTATAACACTATTGAACTCTATTTCAAGCAATAAGAATGTATAATTACTCTTTAAGTTTAAAAGTATCATCATGAAATCAATCATAAATGAAAATAACATGCTTGTCATTAATTAATCATAGCTAAGGATCAGAACCAAACAGCACTATCAAATCATTATTGGTTTTTGTTGGAGAGTGGCCTAACACCACAAATAAAGTGGAGAATAATATCAAGAGCCAGAACTCCCAAAAACTTCAGAGACAGATGCAACTTATGTTTGAAAGAGAAAATCTTCATAATCAAACATAAAGATCCAGACATACTGCTAAATAAACATAATGAACTAGTATTTAAATGCCGACACAAAAACAACCTAAACCTAAGTAAGTACACTAAGAAATAATCATATAGGAACAGCAATTTTGAATTTTTTATATTCCCTTTGTTTTTAGAAATATTACTATGCACACGTGGACGCTAACACATGACTGTATGTATACAACTATGATAATCTATTTGCACACTGAGACACCTGTTGATATGTACATGTATATGTTTTTATACGGAAAAAGAAACATACCAGTTTTTTTTGTTTTTTTTTGTGAGTGTGGAGATGTACAATTAGTTAGGTACTTATATGTTTTGCCATAAATATGAAAGATCGGGTAATATTATATGTGTAAAGACATAGATAATGTAATTAAATACTGAGATAGTCTTCGAACGCAGGCATAAGTGGATGCACAGATGAACATGATAATAGGGACAAATACGTAGGTAGAGATATATGTAAGTGCAAATTAACGCATATGTGGGTATATAGATATTCTGCAGATTGCGTATGCATATATATATGTGTGTGTGTGTGTGTATATATATGTATGTACGTATGCATATATGGGTGTGTGTACGTATGGATGTGTAGATATATGTGCGTATGAGTATGGGTATGCAGATGTCCTTGTGTGTGTATATATATATATATATATATATATATATATATATGTAAGTATACATGGAGACAAGTATGGAGACATGTGGATGTGCGTTCTCTCTGCAGGTGTATATGTGTAAAGATGGAAATATACATATATCGTTTCGTGGGAATGTGTGTGTAGGTGTATATAGGAACTCATAGGCATATAAGACGATATAGGTATGTGGTTACAAATAGGGGTTTAAGACGTGTAGATAAGAAAATATAAAAGAAGGGCCTAAAACAACCACGAGTTTACTTAATGAAAAAAATCAAAAAACAATCACAAGTTTACTTTTAATGAACAAAAAATCAAACGAATAAATGTCAACCTAACATGCTATAAGATAAAAGTTTTAGGGGAAAAGTACTAAATATAAATTGATTACTCTTTCAATGTTCTGTCTATGGATCTTTCCAATCGACTGCTTCATAGGAAATACCCAAAACTCCACTGAATTGCAAATTAATTTCTTCAGAGATTGTTTTAAAAATTTTAGATATTTATCAAACCTTAACCTCCCAAATATGCACGTTAAAATAACGCAAATTTGACAGCGTCTAGGGATTTGAATGAAACCTGTCGGTAATTTATTGGGGCTGTTGTAACGCTGTCTTCCTTAATGTAGCCCTTATCACTCACCCCTTAACCACCTTTATCTAGAGATATAGACGCGTTAGATTTGAGCAACATCCAGCCGACACACTGGGGTTAAAATAGGAAACTAAATGATACATATGACACACTCATATCCTCTCTCCCACCTCACTTCCTCACCTTTGCGTATACTTGATGAGGTCCGTAAAAAAAACGTGTGAATTTCTTTTCATTTTTTCATTTCAGCTTTTGAAGTAAAGTCTGATGATCCAGAACACTGTTAAAGGGTTATGGTGAAATAGCTTATTACATGGAATCTTAACGTGGTCTGTCTTTTATTCAAAATATATATATATATATATATATATATATATATATATATATATATATATATATATATATATTCCAAGATCATTTTACAACTCATTTAAGATGATCTTCGCCCTCTCTAACCTTCTAACTTTCTGTCCTGGGGTAACAAGGTGCCTCACCGGTTTCACATATGATTTTATTTTCAAGTCTTTTTTTTTTTTTACTGCTCCTTGGACTGTCATAGCTGAAACACTTCTCTCACATGCCAAACATTTTATGAATTGAGTTGGATCTTTTCTAATTGATCTCTTTAGCTCTAAGTTGGAATGATGATCACTCTTGCTGTTGTGAACTTGTGATCCAGTTTTCCTCTCTACTGTTCCCTCTTTTTTTAAGCTTATCACCGTTCTCTTGATGGTTCTTGAATGGACTTTGAAGATGGAAACCAGAGCATGAATGTTGATACCATTACTGAAGGCCTGAATGATCTTTTTCCTTTCACCATTGCTCAGTTGGGGCAGACACAAAACGATTTTAACCTGTTTTCTTTCTATCTGAATAACTCAAAGGGTTTTTCACTGATTCTTATGACAAATGATGTTAAGATGGCTAAACATCTTATAAAAAAATCTGAAAAAGAAAGAAACTCAATTAGTTTGTTTTTTTGGATATTAAACATTTTGTGGGATGGATAATTATCTGATGCTGTTACACCTGGTATATATAATGGGAGTAACTGATTTTGGAGAACGTTGAGTAAATGTATATATATACCAGAGTGAATTTGGTTGTGCTCCGAGTATATCATCGCAAAAATATAAAAGCACAAAATGTTCATATCTGCATTTACACTGATCATCAAAGTTTGTTTAATGAATATTAAGTCACATGTTTTAAAAATACAAATATAACCCTTTTAAAACATTAATAAAGTACATAAGTGTTTAGCAATTTTTTTGCAGTTCATTTTTTGAGTAGTAGCATTCATTATTTCATAAGTTAATTTGGGCTGCTGTTCTTATCTTTTGTTTTTATTAAAATGTTTTTTTAAAATGTTTTTATTAAGTTTTTCTTAAAACTGCATGTTGTGCTTGATAATCTTTTTATATTGTCCAGAGTTTTTTTTTTTTAATTAGTTAACCTGAGACATCTGTCTATATTTCTGAGATGAGGTATTGTAAGTATTTACACTATTTACATTGTTCAGACTGTTGTCCTCATCTTTATTGCCATATTCACAGTGTTTCAACCATTGTATGTTCTGGCCTTCTTCAGGTGATATAATGTTAGAATTTCAGGCCACAGGGGTAGATTGTTTACTCACTGATCTCCCCAAGAACACATGACCCAGTGGATAAAAGAATTGGTTGAAGTAATCCAAAAAGTGACTTGACCCACAGAGTTGTCAGTTCAATACTTGGCCACACCAGAGATGAACAAAAAACTTGAGTTATTAAAGGGAATTAACTGAAACTGAGATCTCCAGAAAAGTTATGACATGTGGAATTGTTCTCAATCAACCCATAGACTAAATAGGGTTTGGTTTGAAATTCCAATGTATATCACCTGAAAAAGGCCAGTGTATACAACAGCTGAAACATTGTGAATATGACAAGAAAGATGAGGACAACAGTCTGAATGATGTAAATATTTTAAAGGAATTATTTAACAAAAGTCAGTCAGATATATCTAAAATTTTACAAAATGTTAACACGATACAACTCAAAATACTTGCATGTGTGTACACATAGATGTTCACATATATATATATATATATATATATATATATATATAAAATCAGTTTTCCCAAAAAGTTATAAACTGGGCTGGATTTGGGCTTACAGAGGCCCCTAGTCTAATAGAATTTGGGGGCCTCCTTCATTATGTATATTCACTCCCTTGTATAGTTTTATTGGTGGAGTTAGGTGTTCCGGGGCTGCAGCCTATACCAGACCATAACTGCAACATGTTTTTAATTGGAACATTTCACACACTTGTAATGCAAGAAATCTATCAGTTTTAAAGATTTTCTACCTACATCTTTTGACACTTGTGATTTGTGTTCCATTTGTGAGAAAAGGGAGAGATTTCATTAAGCCCCAAATACTGACCAATCGATTCTTGATGGTTGCTGGATGTAACCTAAAACTTAGGAATTGTGAATAATGCTTGAAATGTGATTAAATTATACAGGGAGATTGAAAAGTAACTCCCAATTTTAAAATACTTATAATTTATTTATTAACTAAAATTTTTACAAGAAATGGCTATGAGAGGGAAGTGTTTAGAATGAGGTTTTATTTAAAGTTTGATATGGGCACCAGATTTCGCTACCAGCTTCTTGAGCCAGCCAGGAACTCTTGTTGTATGGAAGAAAGAACTTTTTGTATTTGCCCTTCAAGTTATTCCAAAGTCTTGGTTTGTTATAATAGACTTGCTCCTTTAACCAACCCCAAAGAAAAAAGTCACAGGATGTTAAGTCAGGAGTCCTGGCTGGCCACTCGTATATAAAATAGGGAGTTACTTTACAGTCACCCAGTATATTCCATATTTGTTTATTTAAATAAATATTTGGCAAAATTAGACGTTCATGCCAGCAAAAACTGTGTATGAAAAGGATCTTTTTTCCAGTGGCCCCACTATTATTTTAACTCGGAAATGTTTGTTGATTTAAAAAGGTATGATTAGAATTTTAATAAAACTTAAATATATGAAACTGAATTTACACATTTTCTTTGTTCTTAAGAATTGACAACAAAAATAAATATTATTTATTAAATTGTTTATTTAAACTATTTATTATATTGTTTATTGGAATGGTTGGTAAAACATTGGCTAATTACCCGTTAATTCAAGCTTTGTAAAATGGTAAATAAGCATTTCCCTATAGTTGGTTCAAATATTTTAATAATTTAATAAATGTTTATAAATTTATGAATAAACAATTGTTTTCATATTTATTTCTTTATAAATTGGTAAATGATAAATATTGCATTAGTTTTAATACAATTGTTTATTAATGTTGTAAATATAAAATTATTGGAAATAAAAAAAACTAAATAAATAAATATTGATTAATTGTTGTAAATTCTCAAGAACAAAAAAGATGTATAAATTGACTTTCATCATATGTTTAGCTTTTATTAGAATTCTAATTATTGCTTTTTAAAATGGCAAACATTGATGAAGAGTGAAGGTAGTTAAAATAATAGTGGTTTAATGGAAAAACCGTCCTTTTGACATGCTGTTTTTGAGGGGCATGAAGGTCCAAGTTTGCTGAATATTTTTTTAAAGAATTACAAGTTAACATTTTTTTTCCTTGCTGTTTTGTTTAAAGATTTTTTTTTTTTTTTCCAGTTGATTTATATTTTTAACAAACTCTTGAGATTTCCTGTTACTGTAGAAATTTTGAGGGTAAGTGAACAATTTTTCCATGTCTTTTTCTGCTTATTTCTTTTGTGATTTAAGCATGATATGCAATCAAGCCTGTTATCTTCTTAAATTGAGTTGATAATTACCTTGTTTCATTAAAAATAAGTATCATTTCTGTCTCTTATGCATAAATGTTTTGAAAATTTACCCTATTTAAAGTAGTGCTAAGAAATATGTGAGAAAAGTTCTCGGCTCTCACAATTTCCTGAAACATCAAATTTAAAAAAAAACAAAATTAATACCATCTTTTTAGCACTTGTATATAAATATGCACATGCACACACCCTTATTAGCTGAATATTGATTTTAAATTTTCAGCATATATTGTTTGATTTAAAGGATTAATATTCAGCATTAAATTCTTTGACAAGGAAAGAGATTATGTTAAATGTTTTTATCTAAAATAAATACTTTTTTCCTCATTAAGGATCATTCATTCCTTTTCTGCTTTATTTTAAATAAGTTCCTGGCTACCTGTGTAAAATTTAGCTTGCTTGAACATCTTAGATATATGTAAGTCATTCTGTGCCCATTAGAGATTGGATACATAAAAAGCAAGCCCACAAGTTGGGTGGGCGATGAGCAACTGAACATGGCAATATAGGATTTTGAGTATTAAAAAGATATTTCAAGATGCTACCCCCAAAAATATATTCAAAGATGTAAAAGAACTTGTAAAAAGATAAAAAATAAAGGGAGGCTAATTGGGAATAACTGCATCTCATTTCTAGATAAGATATATATTCCTGCAAACAATGGATATTTTGGTATTTTCTATAAGATATATATACATATATTTTTCTATAGTTTTGAGAGTGGGCATTAACATTTCAAATAGTTTTTCAGATGGAATAATTTTTTTATTTCCCTGATATAAATCAAATATGGGAAGAAAAACAAAAAAATGTTGACTGAATTTTATTAGTTGCTAATAGTAGTTCATTTTAATTTTATAATTATGAACAAAAATCTCTTCATTTTTTGTCAACACTTGCAATGCTAACCATAAAACTAAATTTTCTATATATATATATATATAATTTTCAATGTTAAAGTTTGCTTTTGTTTGTTCTTTAATATGGTAATGACAGCAGTCACCATATAAATTAGCATTATTTGTTAGTTTGGTATTTTTTACTATATCATAAAGTCAGTTTATGAACCAGTAACAAACTTTTACCAAACAATTTTGGTATGCTTTTGAATGTTTACTATACAGGTGGGTGTTGGAAAATTTTTCCATGTGAAAGTGGGCAATGACACAAAAAATTTGGAACCCCCCTGGATTAGTATATCATCATCTTACTGTTGACACTTTGTGTTTTTATTTTTGTTCTCTCAATGAAGCCATTATTGGTGTTTTCAACCCATAGTCTTCCATCCTCTCTTCAACTGTCTTTTTATTGGTGCCCAACTCATGTCTGCTCATGATGTAGAATGGGAATATATACATAAAGAATTTATATGTAGTGTCAGCCAGCTCTTACTGTGACAAATTATAGCCATTTGAATGTAGGTAGATAAATAAAAGTAGATTTCACTCTTTAAAGTTACTGCTATTTTCAAGTTAATTCTTTAAGATACTTCATTTTATTTTTTTATAAGAAATATACTGGATAATATGTTATTGTTACATTATAAAATGTGTAAATGCATTTAGAAAGCATAAAAAATTATGAAGAACTTTTTGACAATGCATAGATTATAAAAATGGCATTGTATTTAGAAAAAATTTGTTACCTGAAGAAATTTACAAGATTTTTTTTTTTTTCCAGGATACTGGCATTGGAAAAGTTGTTAATTCCTTCCGTAAACGTGAGGGTGAGATTGGCGAGAAAGCACGGGCAGTTGTCACACAGTGGAAAGCCATAGTTTCTCTGCAGGATGATCCCCCAGTTGAAAAAACTGAGCCGGATTCTACCACAACATCTCATCATGATTCAAAGCCTTCAAAATCCAAAAACCTGTCTGAAAGTGACAAAAGAGAAAAATCTCTGGCCAATCATACGGCTGTCAATTCTCCACATTCCAAAAACATTTCAAAGTCTACTTCAGACAGGGAACACCATGACAAAATTTCACGAACAGAGAAAGAATCTAGTTCTGTTAGCAGCATGTCTAAAACTGAGAGTTCGCATCACAAAGCCCACAGTAGTAGCAAAGGGAGACACAGCAATTTATCAGAGGACACGCCTACCAAACACAATAATAAAAGCTCAAGAGAGAAGAGTCAGTCAGAAGGCAAACAAAAGGACAAAAAATCGTCGCATACCTCAAAGGGAGAGAAAAAGTCTTCAAAGGTTGGGGCTGATGGTTTAAGTTTTGAGGATTTTATGAACTATGATGATTTGGATGTGAGGAAAAAGTTTAAAAAGAGCAAAAATAGTGTGACTTCGAAAAAGGAAAAAACTTCAAAGGAAGTACCCAAGGTCAAAACGGAGACTGCTGGGAGCAGTCGCTCTGTGTCAATGGTGCCTGGATCAAAGCGGAGTACTGTTGTTGCATCGAGTGATTCGAAAATCTTGAATGTACCTTCGCCGTCTAAAAAGGTAAGTGGACATCTACTCTGGAGATTGGCTTCCAAATATATCAATTTTCTGACCAGTGCTACCCCCTCCCCCCACACACGAGGGTCTGAAATCAGGAACAATCTTAAAACTATATTATAAAATTTTATTGTCTATTGATGTACTGTAGAATGATATCAAAACCAATTTCTTTGTTGCATATTATTTTTCTTTAGTAAAAGTACAGTTCACGCACAAAGATGTCTGGATGGGAGTTAAGCTTTCTTTTATGTTGAATAAATTCAGACTTATCATGGAATTTTAAATATATATATTTAAAATAGCATGATGTTAATAAACAGTGTCTACTAAAATATGAGTTTCCACTCAAAATAATTTTTACATAATAAAATTTGTCTGGTTAATAAAAAAATCCATCCCTTTTCTTTATTTATATGGGGTTGTCTGGAAAGTTCATGCCAATTTTTTTTTTTTTTTTAAGGGAAATTAAAACACGAAACAAAATTATGCCATTAAATATTTATTCAACTAAATATGAACCATTTTGTTGCACAATCATTCTTCATTTTTTTCTTCAACTTAGATTCCATCTTTCCAGAATTTCGGTGGTTTCTCAGCAAAGAGCTCATAAAGGTGGTCTTTTATGTAATCCAAAGAATTAAAATTCATACAATACAAAAAAAGAATACATAATCTTTGTAGAATACCCATTATTCATTTCTACAGCAACCAAACTCTTCTTGTAGTTCTCAATGATTTGCAAATTTTAATTGTCATTTTGTTCCATTTTTCTTTGCATATGGTCTTCAGATCCAGGATATTTGTTGGAGTTTTTGATTGGATTTGAATTTTCAAATAACACCACAGATTCGCGATTTGGTTTAAATCTGGGGACTGACTTGGCCATTTCAGGATATTTACATTATTTTCATCAAGCCATTTCTTCATAGATTTTGCAGTGTGCATAGGATCATTATCTTGTTGAAAGATTCAATATGGAAGAAGTTCATGATTTTCAACCAAAATCATTTAAATTTGCTTTCAAAATATTTTGATATGCTGTGGCATTCATTCTACCACCTATTACTGATATGTTGCCAGTACCTTTAGCAGAAAAACATACCCAAACCATGATACTACCACCACCAAATTTGACTGTTGGAACTGTGTTTTTTTTGTTTTTGTTTTTTTGTTTGAAGGTATTGCCATTTTTCCTCCATACATGATTTTTAGAATTACATTCAAACAACTCAATTTTGGTTTTGTCTGTCCATAATACTCTTTCCCAATATGATTTTTCCTTATCCTTATGTTAGTGAACGAATTTCAACTTGGCATTTCTGTGTCTTTTCAATAGAAGTGGAGTTTTCCAAGGGAGCATGACTTTAGATTGTCCAGATGAATTTCATTGCTTATTGTCCATTTAGTGACACAGATTTCTGATGAAAGTAAATCATTCTGCAACTCTTGACGAGTGACCATTGGATTTTGTTTAATTTGACGCATTAATTTCCTTGCTGATCTCCCATGGAGTACCTATTCTTTTTTGGTTTTCAACAGTTTTGAGTTTTTTTATACCTTGCAATAAATGAACTAATGGTAGTAAATGAAATATTTGGGTGAGCTGAGATTTTCCTGTAACTTTTAGCTTCTTTCCAGTGCTTAACAATCAGTTCTTTTTGTGAATTTGTCAGTTCTTTACCTCTTGCCATGATGATGATAATCTTGAAGGAATATCAATTACAGAATGTGGTGTTTGTATTTTTTAGGCTAAAAATAATTGCTGATAACATTGGAACATTCTAAGAATATTCAACTTGAATAATCTAGAGTATTAAAGCAATTTAAAAGTTTTAAAAACTGAAATTTGCATTTTACGAATCCTTTTTTTCATCCATTAAAATGAATAGGATTTATATCTATTAAATGAAAATTTTTTCTGTTTTCTATGCATATTTAGTTATTATGCACCTGTGTACAGTTAATTGTATGAAAAGTATGTTTATTCATTAGTTGTAAATACAATAAATTAAAATTTGTATGTGTACGAATATTTGTTTCCCCTTACTGTGTGTGTGTATGTATGTGTGTGTATATATATATATATATAATGCCACCATATACAATGCATGCACAAAAAGTGAAAAAGTCAGCTTAACATTAATAAATAGCACATAAATTATTTTTTAGCTTAGTATAAAAATAACAAAATGAGAAAATCCACAGTCAATTGCTGAAACCTGATGAGTTGACCAAATGATTACAGAACAGTTTGTTTATGAAACTCTGGAATCAAGGTTCTGAATATAACATCAATCAGTTAAGTGATAAAGTTTATATATATATATATATATATATATATATATATATATATATATATATATATAATGTCATATATAATGTTAAGCTGCACGCCAATAAACTGTGATGTCGCTTAAGCTGCACATGTGCGATGGACCCCCAAATTTTTTTGTCATGTTCTTATTAGAATCATAATTATCAGTGGATCCCCATTTGAAACAAATTCAAACTTGATTGTCACACTTTTTTAAAGTCTGATTTTTTTCTGTATAATCTTTTATTTTAATAAATTCATTAAATTGAGTTTTAATACCTTCAGTATATTCATATTTTCCCAGGCATTTACTATTGTTTAGGCTTTGGCATTTCACACTCCTGATTGTGTAGTGGTTTGGTTTAGCAATTCGCAAGCATTTTGATTATGAACGAAATATGCAGCTTACAACCTTTATCCTAACTTAAAAATTTCACATATTTACTCAACGAGATTTGCTTTAATATTTGATAATGTGCTTTTTCAAATAATTTATATAATCTGCAGTTAAGAGCCATTTTAAATCCTGCTTTAAGGATTATTAATGGAGGCTGCCATTGCAGCCAAATAACCTTTCAACTCTTTCAGAAAGTTTCAAAATGTACATAAATCCTCTCACATTAAATTTTTGTATAAATACAGGCAAAAATTAAAGTTTTGCACTAGATATCATAACGATCACAACATTTTTTTTTTTACATATATATTAACCCATCATCATGAAACATAATCACGCCTCATACAGCTTTCAACAACAGCTAAATCTTGTTGAAAGCATAGGAAACAGCACAGCTCGCAGCAAAGTCTCTAAAGAGATGGGTCTATTATTTTTTATTAATACATTACAATACAATGTATTGTAATGTTTTTATTCAAAATTTTAATAAAACTATAAAAAAATTAATTTTATTTTTTTTTCTTGTTAAAATCTTATGTGTATGAGATTTCTGCCATCTTTTGCTGCCATCAATCTATGGATCTATTGACGTGGCACTTTATAATTGGAATCCTCTTTCAAATTTATTCACATTGGTGCAGATTTTTATGTGAAATTAAAGGATAGTTTTAATAAATGTTTTTCAAAACTGCCAATATTCAACTCAAAGTTGCATTTTGCATGCTTAGCTACTGTGTTACCCATTTTTATGGATAACTCCATTGACTTGACAAGCTTTGTTTTGGTGGTCTAAGCTGGCAATCTGACATCGTGGCTCAGAAGTTTTGGATCCCTACTACTGCAGTTTATTGGTGCTGACCTGTGTGTGTGTGTCTTTCATGAAATAATTTAGACATGTTTTATCTACATAATCACGGACAAGTTTCTTAGTATCCTTATTATAGAAAAAAGAAAATTTTCATGTTGATGCATATTCATTTTATTCCAAGTACTTTTGACATTAGCATTAGTTTTAGTTTGTATGTAAATTTAAGGACAGAATTATTTTGTAATTGTTTTTGGAGTTGATATATTACATCTATATTCTTAACTAATATAAGGATATCATCGACATATCTTAGTTAGATGGAGGGTTTTTTAAATTTATTAAATATATTATTTTCAAGACTAGACATATAGAAATGACTAAAAGTTGGGCCTAGAACTGAACCCGTAGAAACATCATCCCATTGTACATATTATTTTTGTGATCATAGAATGGGATGTCAGTAGTGCAAGTTAATAGTAGTTTCTGCAATATACTGGGTCTAATTTTAAGTGGAGATAGAGAAGGATTATTGTGTATGTTTTTTTTATAATAATATTAATAGTTTCCCTAACTGGGACATTAGTGAATAAATTGATATATACAGGGCGTGATGGAAAAATTGTCATCTAAATTATGCAAAAATGAAAATAACACTGACATCTCATTTTAACAGATATATTTACCAAAATTACACAAAAATATCTTAGTAAATTTATTCAATAAAATTGCTATTGGCTTCAACCGAAACCTCCAGATGACTTTGTAATCTTCTGCAACTTTTCTGGATAGTCTCATTATTTAAGTTGGTGAATGCTACCATAATACTTGCCTTCAGTTCATCTTTGGTGTTACAAGGAGTTTTGTTGGTCTCTTGCTCAACTGTGCCTCACACATAGTAATTAATGGGGTTGCAGTCTGGTGAGTTAGCTAGATGTAAAGAGTGATGTGGTTGCAGAAATTGTCTGACAGCCATGACTAGGTTCTCTGCGCCATGCCAGACAAGCAGGAGAACCCAGTCATGGCTGAAATAGGATACATTTATATGCTTTGTACAATATTTTTATATACTAAACTAATTTCACTTGATGGTTACTCTGTTGCCTTACCATTCATTGACTCGCACAAGTAGGAAAGGGGATAGTCTTTCACATGGTACATCACCCAATCAACCAAAACCACCTGGGTATATAAGACTCCAGTAACCTTTTTTGTTTTATATCTAATTGTACACCTACTATGTCAATTTCTAACTAGCATAGCCTCTCCTTTCTTGTAGGCTTCATGCTTTGACTCTGGTTTTCATGAGAATGTTTTGTTAATATTCTTCACTCAAACCTCATATGGGTAGAGCAAATTATACTGTGGATGCTGTCATGTTATGCTAGTATAATGCCTCCTAGACAGAACACCTGGTTTCCTTTTAGCAATTTGCTTTATACTTCTGTAGGACCATTCATTGATGTCATTTCTGAATGGCATATTTACTTCTCTTAAGAATACTGTCTCAAGCTGCTGCCCCATGTTTGCAAAATCTTGTCAGTGTAACAACCTCCAGATAGTAAATTGTATTGACCCCACAGTCTATCGAGGTCAAGTAGTGAGTTCTGCTCATCCAGAGTGTGTGCTACATGTGAGACACCTCCAGTTTTCCTTTCTGCCAAGAAATTGCTGCTCGGCACTTCATGCACAAGTTTTGATGGCCTTTTCAGATGTGGAGTTTCTCTGTGTGCTCTTCTCACAAAGTAAGTTGTCCATTTAACCCCTGGATTCCAATTGTGCAAGACTATCTCCAGTATTTAGCCAACCTCAATTTCATCTTTGGTGGTGACACAAACCTGTAGTAAGGGCTTTGGCTTCATTTTTCATTGCCTCAGTCCACCTGTGTGGAATTCTAGTTGTTCTGGCTTGAAAGGAGTACGGTTTAGTGGCAGATGTCACATTGATCAATGTGACATCTGCCACTAAATCGTACTTTTTTGCTAACTCTGAGAAGTTTTTTGGCATTCTCCTTATCAACATCTCACTCACAGCCTTGTTACTGACTTATCTTGTCAGTTAGAATATTAGTGAACTAGTGGTAAACACATTACAGGGGTTGTTTTTTTAGTGGAGAATCTTCACCTCCCATTGTATGGCTAAATTTACTCCCTTTATTGTAGTGTCCAACTCCACAAAGGCAGATCCATTCATCTGTAGTGATACTCCAGCTGCCAAAGAGCTTGCATCAACCTGCAGATCGAATTCTTCAACATTCATGCATCATTTACCCCTGGCAGGGTCATTCTACTTCACCCAGTCTACAGTCTCTGTTAACATCTTCCTGAGCAGTGCATTATCTGTTTGGTCATCCTGTGCTTTTGTTATTGCACTTAACCTGTGCCAGTTGCTACATGCACCCATCTACATAACTGGGAGATGTTCTACCAGCTTGCTACAAGGGGAAGAGACCTTTCTCTTTGTAATTACATCAGGGATGTCTGGAAATGCATTCTACCATTTCCACTGCAAGATGCCATTCTCTCTTTAGAACCGTCTGTCAGGTGTTCCGGGTCTTATGAGGTCAAAGCATGGTAGGTGTTTTGCAATGTGTGAGGCTGGTACTATATCCTCATTGATGTAGACATTATATGTTGAGGTTGTTTTTTTTAAAAAATTTTTTTTAATTGCCTCTTCTTGGGATAGCATAGTTCTTATGATAGATTTCATTATCTGTGGTGTGATGTTAAATACAAACCCTATTTTGGTTGGTTAGTACCTTTTGCTATGGAAGACAATTATCTGGTACAGCCAGAGTGACTTGTGGGTGTGAACCTGTAAATAGGCTGCTCTGAGGCCTAATAGAGATACATTTGATCTTTGGAGATGCCACTCTCTCAGTTTGCTGGTGTATACATTTGCATCATCATCTTTAAATGCATCAACATGCTGGTTCAGTTCTTTGTAGCCCAACAAGAACAAACTTTTTAACTTATTCTGCTGTACCACGGCTTTTAGCAGAATTAGTTCTCTTGATGGCCCGGGTTCCTGCTCATCATAGGGAATTAGACAACCATTCTTGATCCACCACTGAATTTTCTTCCTGATCTTTGCTAGCATGGAACACTGGAGAAGCGAAAGCCATATTTTTTAGCAAAAAGAAGACTGTGCAAAGTGAGATTCTTAGCCTCTAATACTATACCAAAAAAACGTAGGACACTAACAGGGCAATAATTTGAAGAATCAGACAGTTCACCAGGGTTCTTAAAAATATGAACTGCAGAAGAGGATTTCTAAAAAGCTGGAAAGCAAGAGACATCTTGGTGCAGAGTTTAGAAAGAACAGGAGCCAGTTCAGTAGTTCATTTCTTTAGAACAATTGCAGGGATGCCATCAAGTCTGCATGATTTGTGGGGATCAAGTTTGTAGATGATAGTGAAAAACCATGGATGAAGTTATATGTAGTAGAGACTCGGTTCTTAGTGGAAAGTCAGGCAAAGATACTCCTGATGAGTCATGAGTAGAATTAGAAAAGAATTTACAAGCCAAATATTCTGCTTTATCAGCAGTACATGATAACACTACAAATTGACTGAAGAGAGGCGGGATTGAGGACTTACCTTTGCTTGGCACAATTACACAGCCACCAGTAAACATCAGAACCAAACTTGTGGTGCCTCACTCTATCAACAAACAGTAACTTAGCCTCATTGAGGACACACTTACAGTTATTATGAGTGGACACAAAGAGTCATCTGTTATGATCATAGCCATCATTTTGGTATAGAGAGAAAAAGTGATTTCTGTGAGTTATAGTGGCTGAACGGGCAGGTGTGAACCAAGTTTAAATTTGGTGATATAATTGCTTGCAGTTCATACAATATTCGTAATGGAGCTGGAGGGTGAATAAGTACACAATCCATTTCAAACTTCTAAAAGAAAACAAAATCTCTGAATAAGCTACAATCTTTTTAAAAATAAATATTACCATGAAAACTGTTTCTTACTATTATTGAATTGTTTTATCTAAGTTTTAATTTTCTTAATTTCTGTTCTTTTCAGTTATGTCTTTCAGAGAAAGATATTTTAGGTTCATTGCCAGAAACCCAGGCTCACTATCATCCGTGGCGTTTGCGTGAAGTAAATAAAGACGACACAAAATCTACAGAGAGTAAGTAAATAATAATAATAATAAAATGTTTTTTGATCCATATTCTAAGTTTAAGTAACCAACCCAAATTAAAATTTTATTTAATTTAAATTTATTTAAGAGAAAAATACTGCACCAGCCAAAACATTGGGAAAATTCTGTTCTCAAAAACAAAATCGTAAGAATACAATACAGGTCAAATTTGACTGATCATATTGGTTTAATTTCAGTAGTTAATGCCTTGCAACTTTTTCTCATACTTCATAGAACAACTGAGATGAAATTTTTTTTTTTTTTTTTTTTCAGTAGTACCTCAATAAGAAATAAAACCTATATTTACACCACATAAAAACCTTCAGAAGTGCAATTTAGCAGTAGGGCAAAAACAGCTCAAAAGTATACCATAAAAAAAAAACTATACATTGGAGGTACATGCCTGAAACTTTGAAACATTACTAATTTTGGGATGAGGAATTCAACAAAACCACTCTTTTCACTATAATATCAATACTTTTTGTAATGTATGTATGTATGTATAATATATATATATATATATATATATATATATATATATAGGAGCCAGACAAACCTACCTCACCTAAACGGATTGTCAGGGAAAGCTTTCCCTGACGATCCGTTTAGGTGAAACCTAGGTAGGTTTGTCTGGCTCACTAGGTGTATCTAGGTCTGCTCTACGATTGTATTGAGCTCTTTTGTTAGTTAGTTGTTACTCATATCGGGTTTTTTCTTTGGGCTTCAGACCTGCATCTGTGCGATTTTTTGTCGGCAGAAGTTCATGTTTGTAGCTCTTCTTTTTTTAAAACCTTTTTTTCCCTCGAAATTGATTTGATTAACAAACAAAAATCAAAAAATCTCGAGGGTTTTTTATATGTGTCTGTGTTGTGTGTATTTGTGTGTGTGTGTGTGTGTGTATATATATATATATATATATATATATATATATATATATATATAAAATTGTGAAATTATGTAATTTTCAATTTGTCAAAACAACAGTAATGACTACAAAACTTAGAAATTTGTTTTATAAAAGAAATTTTTATAATATTGCTTTTAAATTTATTCAGTTTTAAAAGACTTTCTGGACATTCTTCTAATGGTGACTTCCTGATAAGCATTTCTAGAACACACCATATCCAGTTACCACTTGAAACTGGCATTACATCAAAGTCCTATCTGAAGACAAATGTTCATTCCACTTGTGCAATATCATTTGACAAAGGCCATCGGAAATAATCATTTCTGTACTTTGTTAAAGGTAAAATTTTTAACAGCACTGAATGGAGATGCAATATGTAAAAATATGTAATAATGTAAAAATTGGAGTCATAATATACTGCAATCCATTGTGGCTTTGATGCTCATAACTGAATGTCACCTGACATGGTGGTTCTTCATCACAACTACTAGAGTTGTTTAAATACTCAGATTCACTGAATACCTTTTCATCTTTCCTTTGTCTTAGAGATGGAGATGAATCAACTGATTTTACTGTTGCAAAGAGACGTTTCCAGCTGAGATTTATTTAGTGTTGATCTTAACACCCAAGGGAACCTTTACATATATAGGTTAAAATAACTTAATAAAACTCAAAAAACACTTTTGTTGAGTGTTGGTATTTGCATAATTTAAAATATTTTCTTTTACATTTGACACAAAAAATCTATTTGAATATCTAATGTACTTGTAATTTTTCATTGCAATTCTGAAATTATTCCAATTGTAAAAAGAGACTTTTCTATTAAATGAAGATGTCTTAAGAATTGAAAAATGTAAAGTTTGATACCATTTTTGAGTGTTAACATTAGAAGATTACTGTGTTTATGATACTTTAAGCAAAAAATAAATATAGTTTTTACAAATCCAGTCAGTTATTTCTGAATTTTACTAATTTACTTTGAAACAAGAACCAAACACTGAATTTTTAAAACATTTGTTATTTTCATTTGTTGTCAAGAATGGGTTGTTTGGTGATTGGCCATGGCAATATTTAAAAAATATCTTAAAAGTTAAGATCTTATTAAAATTTGTAAATTTTTAATGTTTTTTTTATACAAATTAGCTTCAGGCTGGGCTGTTATTTTTCAAATAAAATCAAAATTTAACTTGAAAAGAGACATTTAATTTATCGAAAATGTGTCTTCATTTTCTTCAGTAAATTTGTAGTAATACTCAGAGTGCAACAAGTTTTATGAGCACCATTATAAAATTGTCAACTTTGGAAATATGGAAAATTGTTGTCCATCACTGAAATAGTGACATAATTTAAAGAGACATGAAATAAAATCATCACACGTGAGGAAGAATTGTATCTTTTAGAAAGAGAAAAGATTAAATTTTAATTACATACTGATTTTATCAAAATTTTGAAAAAAATATCAGCAGTTTAAATGGAAGGAAATTTCACTATTTTGACCCACGATACCTTGTCTGTTTTTTTAATGTTTTATTCTCAAACACAGAGTTGGTACATTCACCCTTTCTGGGTTTTTCTGGAAAGAATTTCTACTTCATTCACGCAATCACAGACTTTTAGTATTATATAGATAGCTCCTAAATTTTGTACATCATTATTTAAAAAATAAAAATGTAAAATTTTAAACACTAAGTTTCTGGAAACAATATGTGCACTGTCTTAAAAATATGAACTAGTAGAGTATATGATGTAACTTCTTAAACACAATTGTCTGAATTTGGCATGTAAGAAAAAAGTAGAACAATGTGAGGTTGTGTGTTGTAATGAGTAATAATTTTACTGTTAGCCTTTTTGCCTTTTATCTCCAAAATTTTCCAAACCTGAATGTTAAAGGCAAAGCAGGACATTTGTATAAAGCTAGAAGTCATTTTGTCATTGTGAAGAACCCAATTTGGTATTAACTTGGTTGTTTCTTGTATATAACAAACTGTTATAAGAACTTCATAGAAAATTAGAAGTCCTTTATTGAAGTCATTGCATTCACTTTTGCACAAACACTGATGGGAAAGGTATGAAACCATTTCTTCTTCTTCTGGTTATTGGTTAAATAACAAGGTAGGCCAGACTTTCTAGACTTAGTTGGCAACCAGTCTAGTGGAAGGACAACTCTGAATTCCAAATTGGTTCATTGTGTGCTTAGTAACACCACCCTCTAAAAAAGGCCTACTTGCTATGAAAGCTGTAGCAGCAACACTTTGAATGGTGAGGTTGTAGCCCTATACTTCACATAGAGTGAGGACTCCTCTCTTTCTTTAACAATATGTTTCAATTTCTGCCTTTATGTTACTGTAACAGTAAAAATAGGATATAGTAACGTTTATACTAGAGTAATACACTTAAGATGCTCTATCTTGAAAAATAAAGCAATTTCCAGTTTAATCAGGCCATTGGTCTTCAAATAATTTTTCTATTAAATATGAATAAAAAAATCTATTCAATTAAAATAACCTGTCTGTATCCTCCTCTGTCAGTCATAATGGTATACAAATGACAATACTTTAATAATATTCAATAACATGGGATAATCTGCACTTGCAAATAATTATAAATTCTTTAAATAGAAAGTAATTGGACACTGAGCAGAGGCTGCCAAAGACAGAATTTAAAGTTCTTAAAATGGAAAGTTTTATGCCATCTTTGACTATCATGCCTCCATGATTTTTTTTTATACACACCACTTCTTTACCTCTCTTCCTGGTTAATTAAAAAGGTTCTTGTAGTATCGGTGCATTTTGTTTGAAGAATGAAAAAATGTTGAGGTCTCAAATATTTCTGGTTGTATAAATAAATAGTACTTGTCAGTAAAGTCATGTTCACAGGTTGAAGTTTATTGAGCTTTCAGTTGGTAATTTTGTCCCTGCTTCTGGTATTTAAAAAAAATGTTGCTTCATAAGCAAATCTAAAATTTCTGTAAAATAATATTAATACAGACTCAAAAAAGTAAAAAAAATAACTTGCTTCAAAATGATTATTGAAAAAAATCACAAATTGTTTTCATTGCCTAATGGAAAATACTTTTCTTTTGCAGAAAAAGACGATCTTGATGCTGTTCTTGCTGGAATTAAGTCACGCACACGAGAAAGTGTCTACTCTGGTAAAAGGACAGTGATTACAGGTGGGCTCTTTTTCTCTTTTTTTTTTTTTTTTTTTTTTTTGTAAGTCTTTTCTGTCTGTAGTTAATTCACCAAATCTCATCAGTTTGAGGTTTAGTTGAGGTAACAACAATTTGAATATATATATTTATATCTATCAGGAGAAGCATTTATTAATCTCAAAGAAGTACAAAACTCTGATCGTCTTTAAAGTAGGATCCAATGACTTTAATGCATTTGTAATGTTCCAGCCACTTCACAAAGTCTCCATGAAAATCATCCAAAGTGAAGATGTCCAGGACCCTTGTCGTGGCCTCCATTATCTCAATGTCTTCGAAAACAGCTGACCCTGACTTTCTACTTCAGCTTGGGGAAACAAACAAAACTCACATTGAGCAAGGTCTTGACTGTAGGGAGGGTGAGAGATAATTTTGATGCCCATCTCTGTTAACAGAATGGAATTTTGGAGTGGTGCATTGCTCTGATACAGGTGCCACTGACCCAAGTGTATTGCTTCCTGAACTGCCTCAAAAACTCCACAAACTACTCTTTGTTGATCGTCTGGCCAGAGAGAACCAAGTGGATGTAGATGATGCCAGCGCTGTCAAAAAAAGGACATCATCATGAGCTTCCGAGTAAACTTTCTTTGCTTAACCCTCTTTGGTTTGGGAGAGTCAGGATGTTTCCATTTGACACTGTCTCTTGGATCATAACAGTAGATCCAGCTTTTGTCGCAGGTCACCAGAAACTTGAGTACTCTTTGATTGGAGGCAATGAGCTCAATCATCTCCCTGCTGTCACTGAGCACCCTGGGAACAAAATTTGCACATGTTCAGATCTTTATGAATAATTGTACAGTTGCCACACTAACTCCAAGCAGTATGCTTATTATCTTCATAGACACAATACATTCTTTATCCAGAAACAAACAATTTCAATCAGGTCTGATGTTTTGACATTCCTCTCCCTCCCACATTTCTCGTCATCTCTCATATTAGCTGATCACAGATAAGACCTAGTGCTCAACAGAATAAGAATTGGGCACACACATATGCTCAAGGCAGAAAATACAGCTCGGTGTAGCCACAGCAATCAATTTCTCATTGTCAAACATATCTTGATAGAATATAAGAAACACAAAAAATACATAGCAACTATTACCAAGCACAAAATCTTAACCTGCTCTTTAAAAATGTACAGGATAGCTGAAGAAAATAAAATACTTCCAACTTCTATAGAAAATAGTGCCTGGATTTTGAATTATACAACTTACATTTTGAAATACTCTTGAACAATGCATCTTGAGACATTTGAAATATATTGAACTATACAACTTGTGATGTTTTTGGAAACAGGTTTTAAAACCCCACTTGAAACATTTTGAAGCATTCCTGAATAAAAATCCAGTTTCAGCATTAAATGTTCCATGGTGGTTGATATGCTGGTAAAACATAGTCAAGCTCACCATCTCTCACTTCAAGTTTCTGTAGCAGTTTTGTTCAATTTAACATAGTTTGAGCTTCCAAATTGTCTTCACATCCTGACTGCTTTCTGATAACAAGTCAGCTAAGTACATATAGGCTACTTGAGAAAGTCTGAACAAGGCAGTGTGCTTTCTTTAAAAGGGTAAATAGAACTTTGCTGGACTGTGGCTGAGCATTTTAAAGCACACTTAGTCAAATGGTTGTTTCTCCTATGAAGTGGGGTGTATTTTCGAACTGTTAGGGAGCATATTTTCTTAAGTTTTCTTGCATGTGCAGGTTGATAGATGTAATATGCTTGTTTAAAATAAAAAAAGGGACGTCTTTTTCAAACAAAGGTATCTACTAAAGATAACATTTGAATAATAAAAATGTCAAATTAAAAACTAATGCATGTATTCTTTAGAAATTTTTATATATATATATATTAGTCATTCACAGACAGACTTTGTATCACAGGTCCTCAGTGTGGCTTGACATCTGATTGCTTCAAGCCGGGATTGTAACCAGACTGATTTGACATCAGTCAGATATCTTACCTCTAGACCATCGCCGCATAGCAAATATATAAAATACTGTGCCTTGTCTATAAATATTTTCATGGTACTTATTCTGATGAGCTTTCCTCTTTGATACCTAGACTTTATGAATTTAAATGCAATACTAGATTGGTGGCAACATCTCATCATTTTACAGTCAAAATGGCTAAATGTATCCATAATTTTTTTTTTTCCTCTCACTTCTTGTTAGTGGAACTTGAAATGCAATATCAACTGTTATCTTCTGTCTGGCTAGTTTTTGTTCTTTTATTGTTCACTTTCTTTAATATTTTTCTTTTTTTTATGTTCCTCCCATTCGGTAACCTCTTGCATCTTAGTGGCTTTGTTGTCTTGCTTGGGGTGCAATATATATATATATATATATATATATATATATATATATATATATAAAAAATAGTATGACAAATTGGGAAAAAGTTTTTGTGAGGCATTTCATCCGTTAGGACTTCATTGGACTGGGCTTTGTTGATGTTGCCATATCTATACAAGCGCAAAAAAATGAGAGATGCTGGTAGTTGAAAAATTTTTGAAAGAATATTTTTTCAATCTCGCCAAATTCATTTGTATTCTTGTTCTTTTCGTTCATTGGCCCTGACTATTCGACATTGTGACAACAGAAAATCTACTTGAGTGCTAGTTCAGCCATGGTAAATTTGCATCCTGGCTCTTACAATATATCACCATTCTTGGAGCAATGTACTGTGCTCAACTTAAGTTTTAATTAGGGTTTAATTAGATGATGTCAATTGCAATTAAAATTAAAACTTCAATAAAGTTTTTTTTTTTTTTTTTTTTTTTTTTAGACCTTTCACTCTGTTCAATATTTATACTTTAAATGAGTTATTTTTTGGATTGATTGTTGTGATTTATTCTAACAGCTATTTTGGTGTGATTGGTTTGTTAATTTGTTTATTATTTATTTACTTTATTTATTTGGTTTGATTATTTTTACATGTTTTTTTTATTTTTATTCTTTTTCGTTTATTCAACAGGAGTGTTTTGTTGTTTATTATTTGCTTGGGTTAATATATTTTACTTGTTTTTTATTATTATTTTGTTTATTTTTATTTGTTCTTTTTAGTTTTCAATTTTTAAACAATAAATAAATAAACCACTCTCACCAAAATAACCATCAGAATGGACTACTCACAATGCACCACTGACCCATATATAAAAATATCCAAGAAAAAACCCAACAGACAAGCCCTGATGATTGCATCTAGCATGAAACAGCCTGTCACCTCTGAGTGTTGACTTCAGTGTTCACTTTTGTATTTACATACGCTTTATCTCTGATATTGAGCACTTTATCCCATAAATATGGCACATTTTAAAACTATATTTCTTCATACATACATACATACATATATATATATATATATATATATATATATATATATACACACACACAAACTCAAGTGTGTGCGTGTGTCCATAAATCCATATACATCCTGAGAACACTTGATATTTTCACTATTTATTATGATCCAAATTAAACACTTTGTGTTGATACATAATACACAACCAGCTGTTCAATGTCAACACCATTATTAGAATAGAGCTCCTGTTTCAAAATAGCAAAGTTAAAAGCGGCTGAGTGAGTGGTGTTTACCTACCCATTATCTTTTCTAAATGACATTTGCCATAGACACAAAGTGTGTTTGAAATTGATGATTTCTTGGAGTGGAAAAAAGAAAAATCAAGCATTGGCCTATATGCAAGATCAGCTTGTATATAACCACACACACACACAGGTACATATATATATTTCCCCACCCCTTATGTTTAGCTGAAGTTTCATTCAAGATCTAATCTGTACAATTTTACTTCTATTCCTTTTGGGAAATTATATTAGTGTCTTAAATTTTAAAGTGAATTGATCTTCCTTAATAATTTAGGTTTAGTGTTTGTCTTTTGTGATTTCTTTTTTTTTTTTTTTTCTTAATCACAACTTTCTTGTTTGAATATCCTCTCTTCATTAAACTAGGAAAGTGACAGAATGTGTACAGTTTTTTTTTTTTTTTACATTGTCTAGTTATAGGTTTTTGTGGTTGAAATGTGCTTTCTTTGAAAAAGTGGCCATAAAGATTTCATTATTTACATGCAGCCTATTGCCCTGTTTGTTGTGTTATTACAACATTTTGATTGTTATACCCTCTGGTATTTATGAGTTCAGGCTGGAGGGCAGAAGGACTGAAATATTGTGATGGAAACAATAGTCTGTGTGGATAAGTTTTCACTGCAAATTTCTTTGTTGTTAATTTATTGAAAATAAATTGGTTAAACAGTAAAATTGTGTTTGGTGAAAGTAAGATTTTGAAGATTAATCGTTCCAACTGCTACTTTGATAACAGATGGCAACAATGTTTTTTTTTTTTTTTTTTTTTCCTTTAATTTACTAAGTTTTACACTGTTAGATTTTATAATAAGCTTGGCTTATGGTCTCTTTGAACTGATGACACCGAAGAGAACAGAAGCTACGGTTTACTCCGGCAAAACGTTTGATTAGTTGATTAAACTTTTCTACTTTGGAATCTCCTGCATTTCTTCTGGATGGTCACCTTATTCAATGTTACCATAATCCTTGCTTTCAGTTCAGTATTACAAGGAGTTTTGTTGGTCTCTCACTCAACTGCGCCCCACACATAATAATCAAGGAGAGTTTGGTGGTCATATTAAGGGGTGATGTGGTCGCAGAAATTGTCTGACAGCCATGACTGGGTTCTCCTGCTTGTGATGCATGGTGCAGAGTCTTTTTGCCAGACATAGGTTATTCCAGCTGCTATCCTCTTGGCTCAGGGCAGCACTACCTCCTCAAGGTACTTGAGGTAGGCTTTCGTGTTGAGTCTGTGGCTCTGTGGGAAGATGAATGGAGGCATAATGTCGCCATCACTAGTGATCACGCCAAACACCTTCGTAATCACCATTAGACTCTTCCAGCTCTTTCCGAATCCTCTGTACTGTCCTCAGATTGACAGCCAAGCACTCTAAAATGTTCGTATTGGAGTTTCCAGCATGAATTTCGAGCAGTACAGCATGCTGTTTCCAAATTTCTGGTGAAGTGAATTGCGTCATGGTTCTCTTTTTCTCACAGATGGTGCCCAACTATACTTTGCAGTCAACAAAAATAATGCACATGTTCGAAATTAAAAATCTAAAATGGTGACAATTTACCCATCATACACTATATCTATCTATCTATCTATCTGTCTGTCTGCCTGCCTGTCTCTGTATTTTTTTCCTCTCTCACACACACACTCTGTCTCTATAATGAATGATACCCAAACTGCATAATAAAATCTTGAAACATTTAAGTTATTATCCTTATTTCTAATAAAAACATTTATGCTGAAATTCATTTGGTATATTATCATCTAAGTGAATTCTGAGAATATTACAAATATTGTGGAAAAAATTGGCCTGTATGATAAAAACTAACATTGTGTATTTTTAACAAATATTTAAAGTTGATGTATTTGATTTATCTCTTGCTTCTGATGACTCTGTTTTTTAATTAAAATGGCTTCTTGTTTTTCAGAAGTGCCCACATTATTTAATGCTTGCATCCAAGTTCTCATTGACAACATTGACAGTAAGTTATCTTTTTTTTTATATTTGTCCTTTTTTTGTTTTTTTTCAAAACTGATCCAATGTAAATAGTATCGATAATGTGTGTTTACGTTTTTTTTGTTATCTTTTGAAAGAAACTTTACAAAAATTTTAACAATTATATATTTTCTTTTCTTATACTCAGCACAATTGTTCAACATTTCATTTATTTTAGCTGTTTCTTTTCTAAATTTATATGACCAGGTGTCAAGAAATATCATGGAAGCATAAATTTCCAAGCATGAAATTAAACCTTTAGCATAAAACATAATACTGGTTCACAATATCCATTCAAGGTTATGGATTTAATGGCTTGCCTAAGATGAAATACCAATTTTCTTTTTCTTTATTGGTTAAAGTGCTGAATGTTTCATTTCAAACAAGCAAATGTCATTCTCTTACAAACCTTTTTGAGTTCTATTCTCTTTGATGCTTCGTTTTTTTTTTTTTTTTTTTTTTTAGTAGTATTATTTTATTTTTAATTAGATGGGGTTATATATTATTGTATACTAAATTTGTCTAAAAATGAGGTGAATAAAAAAAAAAAAAAAATGAGGTAGCTACAAAATCATAATATATAAAGAAATATTTGTAAAGTGTTGCTAGTAGATTTTTAACTTTCTTTTAACTGCCAATGAAAAGATTTCATGAGTTTAATTTAGTCAGATGGATGCCCAAGCAAAGATAGGTATATCGTATTTTCCTGGACATTTTTTTAACAACTTTCTTTATTTCATCACTGCATGTATAACAGCAAATTAGTAGTGAAGAACAGCAAATGTCTACATATTAAAACTGCTTGTATGAACAGCAGTATAATTCTGCTTATATGTGGTGATATTAGATGTAAATATGTTTAATGGCTCATTGTTGAGTTAAAAAAAAAAAACTTTTAAAATAAAAAAAAAATTAAAAACTGCTTTAGCGGTATAACATTTGATCCAAACTCATGAGATTTAGTCTAATACTTCTGCTTCAAGATTATATCTACAAACAAAAATTCATTTTTTAATATTTTAAAAATAAATTTGCATGCTACATCAGTGAAACAAGGGAGATAATAATAATAAAGAAAAACATTGTTTCTTATTGAAATGTTTTGTTTCACCAAAAGCGAATGTGATGCTGAATAAAATTTATCAACGGGAAAACCTTAAACTTTGAAATATTAAAAATATATATTTTTTTCTTGTAATCTATAATTGGGTTTACTTGTTGATTATTAAATTCTGTTTTAATAATTCCATTTGTCATAAACAAAAAAATTATTGTTCTTAATTTTTTAAAAAACTGTTTCTGTTAAAAGGAATCTTATTTAAAGTATATATTTAAATGATTTAAAATCCTTTTCTGATACTTAAAATAACAATGTATTTATTCTTAAATGTTATGTTGTAATATTTTGTAGGTCTTGAATATGTTGGTGGTATTCCTTTTGACATTCTTCAGCCAGTATTGGAACGATGTACGGTATCGCAGCTGTACACCTTAGAGGATTATAACCCAGTAAGTTATCTCCTTGTAATGTATTTTCTTGTGCATCATATGAGAAATTTTGAATGAAAATTAATGGCAAAAAAAAAAAAGTATTATATACAAGTACACATTTTCAGAAATTTTTTTTACTCTGCTTGAGATCTCTTATTTGAAATAGCAAGATTGCAAATCCACTCAATCAGCACAATAGATAATAAAATACAAAGTAGGCAGGTATTGATAACAATTGTTTATAAAAGATATATTGATATGTTGGCAATATTTGTTCTTTAGGAATCTGCATAATTAATGTTCTTTGTCTCAGTTTTGTTTGCAAGATAGAGTCTGTTTATATTTTGATTTTCTTGTTTTTTTATAAAGTTACAAAGTTTTCTTTTTGCATTCAATCTTTTTTTTTTCATAGTTTATTAATATATAGAAATGAAATGACATCAAATGGAAAAGTATGATGGATTAATTAACACCTGAAAATCTATTATATGGTATGTCTAATTTGTAACTTTCCTTGAAAATTCAAAAATAAGCTTTGAAACAAAAATTAGAAGAAACATGCAATGACTAAACATCCAGTTCATTTCTCCTCTTTAATATTGTGAAAAATTAAATATTTTAGTGAAATATATATATATATAACATTGAGCTTTTAATGGATAATATGGTACAAATTTTTAAAAGAAATTTACATAGTGATGGCTGTATTACAGGATTGTGTTATACTCAAAGATGTAATTTATTCTCTGTTGTTAACATTAGAAACCCTGTCATTATACACAAAAAATACTGTAGTTATTTTTTTTTTTTCTTGAAAAAAAACAAAACCTTTTTCTCCTTTTTAAGATATCTTTGTTTTGTATTTGTGACTTTGATGTGAAGTAAAGTCAATTGTTGACTTTTTGCCAGTATTTATGTATCATTGCATGTCAAAACAGAAAATAAATCAACTCACTGATTAAATTTGAGTCATTCTTCATCACAGCATAAAAAATACACCTCTTATGCTATTGACAATGACTTTAGCTGATTTACAACCAAATGAAGGAAATTGAATCTTGTTCATTCCCCCAAAAAAAAAAACTTCATGTTCCCTTCATTTGTTGGGTCAGTTTCATCACCTCTATCCTACCAGTGCCTGTGTTTCCTGGGTATGATGATAAACTACATCCAGCAACAAGGCCTCTGATCAGAAGGTTTTGAGGAGTGTGGCAGCACCTCTTAATTGCTGTTGTTCCTGGGTCCACCCTGATCTGGGGTGGTAGCACATGTTAGGGTCCCAACTATCAGGAAATAGTTAACCCTGAAACTGAACTCTAAGGAGTTGATATAGCACTAAACAAACAATAGCAATAGTAACCAGTGCCTGTGTGCTTTCTCATTGTCTCTTGGCTTTGCTTGTTTACTGTTGATGGGTACAGAGGTTTTGGTTGAAGGTGTTTTCATTTTGTTTTCAACTTCAGTTCTACTTCTATGTGCTGTATCCCTTCAGGACATGGATGATCATGGCTCTCCATAATTTCTTGTCCTATGTAGCTCTTAGTAAATTTTGTCTTTTGGTTATCTCCCTTAAGTACTGTTCCGCCAACTATTTACACAAGCTTATTAGGAAGGTTATGCACTGTTTTCCTCTTGCCTTCAATATGTCCTATGACTGTTGAATTTTCTAAGTCCCTTTTCCTTATTATTTGCCCCAGAAATTTCAATTATCTCTTTCTGGTGTTAAGTGTTTTTTGTGTTTTCATTCATCTTGTTCATTGTTTAAAGATCTTTCTGCATGGAAATTACTTGAAGATGGTAATTCATACAATTTTTCTACAATTGTCAATCAAATCAAAAAAGGGAGTCACTGATCAATGTTTTTTTTCTTTTCTCTCTTTTTCTTCTTTTCTCTCATTTTTTTTCTTCTTTTCTCTCTTTTTTTTTTCTTCTTTTCTCTCTTTTTTTTCTTCTTCTTTTCTCTCTTTTTTTTCTTCTTCTTTTCTCTCTTTTTTTTTCTTCTTCTTTTCTCTCTTTTTTTTCTTCTTCTTTTCTTTTTTTTCTTCTTCTTTTCTCTTTTTTTCTTCTTCTTTTCTCTTTTTTTTTCTTCTTCTTTTCTCTTTTTTTTTCTTCTTCTTTTCTCTTTTTTTTCTTCTTTTCTCTTTTTTTTCTTCTTCTTTTCTCTTTTTTTTCTTCTTTTCTCTTTTTTTTCTTCTTTTCTTTTTTTTTTTCTTCTTTTCTCTTTTTTTCTTCTTTTCTCTTTTTTTCTTCTTTTTTCTCTTTTTTCTTTTCTCTCTTTTTTTTTCTTCTTTTCTCTTTTTTCTTCTTTTCTCTCTTTTTTTCTTTTCTCTTTTTTTTTTCTTCTTTTCTCTTTTTTTTTTCTTCTTTTCTCTTTTTTTCCTTTTCTCTTTTTTCTTCTTTTCTCTTTTTTTCTTCTTTTCTCTTTTTTTCTTCTTTTCTCTTTTTTCTTCTTTTCTCTTTTTTTCTTCTTCTTTTTCTCTTTTTTTTTCTTCTTTTTCTCTTTTTTTCTTCTTTTTCTCTTTTTTTTCTTCTTTTTCTCTTTTTTTTTTCTTCTTTTTCTCTTTTTTTTTCTTCTTCTTTTCTCTCTTTTTTTTCTTCTTCTTTTCTCTTGGATGAATAGTTTTTTTCAGGACACTGAGATATACCACTGAAATTGAAAGTTTTATTAGTGTCTTTAGTCATTCTTAACACTGTTTTCTAAGTGAATCAGTTATTTTATTCTTAAAATGATTTTTAAATTTGCATAGATGTTTTTAATTGATACCTTCATAATTTTATTTTAGTTTTTTTTTTTTTATAGCATTTGATTGTATCTCTGAAAGTAGGCAAAAGATTTGTAAAACTTGTGCAAAGATTTGAAATATGTTATTAATCAAATAAAATGTATGTTTGGATTCCCATTATTTTGGTTGATTGTAATTGCTAACAAGATGGTACAGAGTGTGACAAAAATACCTTCAACTTATTCTTCCCACACAATGGTAAGACAAAGATGTCTTCATCTAGCTAATGTGGGAAGTATTTCTGCTGCACATTTTATTTGGTCATATATTTTCTATTTATTCATTCTTGATAATCTGTTTCTTTGCAGCATTTCCTTGAAGATTCAGATAAATTATGGAAGATACATTGCCAACGCGATTTCCGAGGCAAGGAAACTGATGAATTGGAATCCTGGCGTGAACTCTACTTGGTATGTCAACAAATTGCTTTTAAACTTTTGTTTTTTTTTTTTTTTTATTCTTTTCAACTCTTAACATCTTTTTATGTCTTCCAAAATTTTACCTGCAGATTTCTTTTTTTGTTTTTCTATTATTTTTTTTTGTTCTTTTTTTGCTTTTTTTTTTTTTTTTTTGTTCTTTTTTTGCTTTTCTATTTTTTTTTTTTTTGGTTCTTTTTTTGCTTTTTATTTTTTTTTGTTCTTTTTTGCTTTTCTATTTTTTTTTGTTTTTTTTTGCTTTTTTTGCTTTTTTTTTTTTGTTCTTTTTTTGCTTTTTTTTTTTTTTTGTTTTTTTTTGCTTTTCTATTTTTTTTTTGTTCTTTTTTGCTTTTCTATTTTTTTTTTTTGTTCTTTTTTTGCTTTTCTATTTTTTTTGTTCTTTTTTGCTTTTCTATTTTTTTTTTTTGTTTTTTTTTGCTTTTCTATTTTTTTTGTTCTTTTTTTTGCTTTTCTTTTTTTTTTGTTCTTTTTTGCTTTTTCTATTTTTTTTTTTTTTTTTTGCTTTTTTTTTTTTTTTTTTTTTTTGCTTTTCTATTTTTTTTTTGTTCTTTTTTTGCTTTTTATTTTTTTTTTTGTTCTTTTTTTGCTTTTTTTTTTTTTTTTGTTCTTTTTTGCTTTTCTATTTTTTTTTTTTTTTTTTTGCTTTTCTATTTTTTTTGTTCTTTTTTGCTTTTCTATTTTTTTTTTTGTTCTTTTTTTTGCTTTTCTGTTTTTTTTTTTTTTTTTCTTTTTTGCTTTTCTATTTTTTTTTGTTCTTTTTGCTTTCTATTTTTTTTTTTGTTTCTTTTTTTGCTTTTCTATTTTTTTTTTTTGTTTTTTTGCTTTTCTATTTTTTTTTTGTTCTTTTTTGCTTTTCTATTTTTTTTTGTTCTTTTTTGCTTTTCTTTTTTTTTTTTTGTTTTTTTGCTTTTCTATTTTTTTTGTTCTTTTTTTGCTTTTCTATTTTTTTTTTGTTCTTTTTTTTTCTATTTTTTTTTTTTGTTTTTTTTTGCTTTTCTATTTTTTTTTTTTTTTTTTTGCTTTTCTATTTTTTTTTGTTCTTTTTTGCTTTTTATTTATTTTTTTTTTTGTTCTTTTTTTGCTTTTCTATTTTTTTTTTTTTATTTTTTTGCTTTTCTATTTTTTTTTGTTCTTTTTTTGCTTTTCTATTTTTTTTTTTTTTTTTTTTTTTGCTTTTCTATTTTTTTTTTGTTCTTTTTTTGCTTTTCTATTTTTTTCTTTGTTCTTTTTTTGCTTTTCTATTTTTTTTTGTTCTTTTTTTGCTTTTCTATTTTTTTTTTGTTCTTTTTTTGCTTTTCTATTTTTTTTTTTGTTCTTTTTTTGCTTTTCTATTTTTTTTTGTTCTTTTTTTGCTTTTCTATTTTTTTTGTTCTTTTTTCTATTTTTTTTCTATTTTTTTTTTTTTTTTTTGCTTTTTTTTTTTTTTTTTTTTTTTGCTTTTTATTTTTTTTTTTCTTTTTTGCTTTTCTATTTTTTTTGTTCTTTTTTTTTTCTTTTTTTTTTTTTTTTTCTTTTTTCTTTTTTGCTTTTTTTTTTTTTTTTTGTTTTTTTTTTTTTTTTTTTTTTCTTTGTTCTTTTTTGCTTTTCTATTTTTTCTTTGTTCTTTTTTTTGCTTTTCTATTTTTTTTGTTTTTTTTGCTTTTCTTTTTTTTTTTTTTTTTGTTCTTTTTTGCTTTTCTTTTTTTTTGTTCTTTTTTTTTTTTTCTTTTTTTTTTTTTTTTTTTTTTTTTTTTCTTTTTTTTTTTTATTCAAAATAAAGATCAGCACTCCATTGGTGTATGCATTCAGTTGACACTTGCATGAATACAGTTTATTATAATCATCAATTAGTTGCACAATATTGTCTCGACGGATATTCCAAATTACACATTCTTCTTGAAATTGAATGACCTAACTCTGGTAAGATTGAGACAAATTATTATTATACAACCTCTGTCCTATAATAGTTGGTACATTTAGTGTATGAAATGTGTATGTGAATGTAATAACTATTATGGGACAGGTAGTTATCACAAGTCACCCAAATGATTGGCTACTCCTTCTGTTTCTCTGCCAACTAAACTCATCTATAATATGTATTTTTGACCCGAAGAAGTCTCTTGATAAAATTGGTTGAAATGTCTGTCAAGTTATGTCTACTTGCTCACAAGAAAAGAAAAAAAAATAGCGATCTCAAAAATGACGACCTGTCCATATTTTTTTTTTTATAGTATAAAAATATTACTTATATAGTTGAGTTTTCAACCTGGAATTAACCCTTCCCCAGTTGAGATGCTGTGTCTGAAGCTACCATCATAGGGGCTAACTTAAGTACCTCTACAAGAAAAAAGAATGTATAATGAGAAAAGGAAAATGGAGTTAATGCAGAAGGGAATGCTATAAACTGTCTATTACGCACAGACCTGACCCAAAGTTTCTTCACTCAATCAACTGTGACCAGGTCGTTTTTGGACAATGAATTGAATGCAGAGTATGTCTCTCTATTGGTGGTTCCAATCTGTTGCATGCTCTCTGAAATGAGTCCATTTTGCAACCGTGATCACCTAATGGTTCATTGTGTCCCCTGCAGAAGGTGTTATTAGCTCCCTCCAGAGGGGTGTGGTAACTTATTTCTTGCATGATTCTTAAGGCTGGTCCTTTACCATTGGAGTTAGACTGAAGATCTTTTCAATCAGAAATTCTAATTTATTGACAGAGAATATTATACAAATGTATTGGCTTTGCATTTAGGTAGCAAAACAGTCATTTGAGAATTTCTAAGGAGGTTTGTTTTCCAAATTGCTTCAATTCTCCTTGTTCTGGCTGCTATTGAAAATTTACTAGTAAATGTCAACCCACTCCCACAGTGTGTCTGCAACAGTAATGTTCCTTTTTTATCTGTGTGTTTGTTCCATCCACAAGATGTGTGTGTGTTTCTGTCTTTGGACAACAGAGAATTTCTTAGCGATCATTCTGAGCTCTTCTTTCTCCTGAAACCAAATGCTTCACTCCCTGGACACCTCTTTTTTCATTTTTAACATTGATGTATGTAAAAACTTCCACTTTCAGTTGGATCATCTCTGTTTATTGTCCAGGAAAAACACATGGCTCCAGCAAAACAACATTTCTTCAACTTTTAATGAGAATTATCTTATGGCTTACCACAAGGGTAGGTAAGCTTTTTGAGAAGAGAGAGTGCCAAAACTGGCCAAATCTCTAACAGACAATTTTTCCACGTGCCAACAAGAAGTTTTTCAGAACATATTATTTGCTATCTCTTAAGAATGTGAAAAACATTTTGAAATGATAAAAAAAAATCACACCCAGGGTAGTAAAGACATAGTATTGTAAGAAATTTATGTAAATCATGTAAAACTGGCAATAACAAATTTTTTGTCAAAACCTGTATTGAAAGTTTTTATGAAAATTTTTGTGATGTTTTTTATTAGCCTGTAAGTAAAATGTAACTGCCAATAAATACTCACAATTTAAAAATACTATTAACTATTAGCATCAACACAAAAAGTTAACAGTAACTTTTCTTTTTTTAATTAATCATCATTTTTTTCCCAGTTATAGATTTTTATGACTAAAATACAGTAAAGAGTTATTCTTTTGTTGACTTTAAATCCCTTATAAATAATGTGTAAAAAAAAAAAATATTTATTTACCTTCAAAACTACATTTAAACAGCCCTGTGAACCTTTGCCACTTTCAAAAGAAAACAGATAAAACTAGACAGAAAACTTGTTGACTCTTTTTATATATTATCACTGCGACTTCTGCTGACAGAAATTTTATATTGGGTTTATATTTAGTAACCTTGAAAGATATGATGCACTACTAGTTTCATCCATTGGGCTACTCCTGTTTATGAGACTTAACAGTGTTTGTCACTGAGAACAAAGATTCACATGCATATGTAGATGAAACATGGATAGTAATGCTGTTGCAAGGATTTTTTTAAACAGATAAAATTTTCTGGAATGGTATTCCAAGTCCTTAATACTTTGTTTTCTGCATTTCTCTCTGATATTTCCATCTCTAATCATTCCTTTTCAATATATTCCAAGTCAACTTTAAGGTCAACAAATTTCTGCTTCCAAATTGAAGTACACTGAAAATCAATCAATTGTATTTCAAAATTATCCACGTCTATCCATGAAAACATTTGCAAGTTTAGTTCATCCAGTTTGCTAGTGTTTGGAAACATAATGAATTTTGCTTTCTCTTCCAGTTCTTTGAATTTATAAAATCTTGTAAAGAACTGCTCAACAGTTGATTTAATGATGTTTACAAACAGCTTTTGAAGACATTGGTGATCTGTTGGAAGATCATTGATTTTTAAGTTTGGGAAGTATCTAAATCTCTCATCTACATCACTCTTAAAAACTTCTAGTTTCATTTGAAAAGCCTTTATGTATCCAAATATAATATCAAATGTCTTACCAAAGCCTTGTAATTTAATATTCAAGTCAATGTTCACAAAATTCTGCAAAAAAATCAGTTTACAAACCCACATGATATAGGACAATTCTTGGTAAGACACATATTGGTCATTCAAAATGAACTTTATCTCATTTAAGCATTCAGCAAATCAGCTAAGCCAATGAACATTGTTGTACATTTTCATTCCTTTATATATAGATTCTGCTTCATTCAATAAAATTTGAAATTGTCTTTTATTTAAAGCCTGAGCAGAAATCTAATTAACAACCTTGGTAACTGTTTGCATCACTTCCTGAAGTTCCTTGAGGTCAGCTTTTGCACACAAAGCTTCCTCATGTATGATGCAATGAAAACCTATCAGTGGGTGACCAACATCTTTTTGCAAAGAGATTTACAAATCCTGTCTTCTTGTCAGTCATACTGGGGCACTATCTGTTGTGGCAGATACTACTTGTGAAATGTGAATTTGTCAAGTAGATAATTTGTTCACAACTGCTTTACATATTTCAGCCCTGGTAGTACACTCAGGTAGTGTTACAAAGGCAATCATCTCTTCACATACTTCATCACCCCCTACAAAATCGAGAAAATATGGCTAGCCTAAGTGATGAAGTAATGTCCATACTTTCATCAATGCAAATAACAAAAAACTTACATGAAGACAAATCTTTGTCAATTGTTCAGTTGTATTCCTTTTCAACTTAAGTATTCTATCCTTAATTGTTTTCTTACTCACAGACAAATCTTTAATGTGCTGAATAATCTTTTCCTTTGCTAAAAAAAATGTCAAAAAGGAAAGACGCATATTTTAGCCAAGCTTCCTTAATATATTCCCCATCACTGAGTGACTTTCCATGTTGGGCAGTAAGTTTTGAAACCTCAAAACTAGCAGCAACTAATTTGGAACTGGGCCTTTCTGAAATAAAGTTCATCAAAATATCAGCCTTTTTTTTTGTCTTGTTCAGTTCATGAGAAATTAATTCTCTTTGTTCCTCTGCAGTTTTATTACTTAAGTTATTATGAACACTTTCAAAATGTCTCTTTACAGAAGTTGTCCTACAAACAACTGTTTCAGAACAGAAAAAGGCTTTACTGTCTTTTTTAATCATGCTAAATTTTTCAGTCCAGTATTCTTTAAATTCTCTATCCCCTTCATTTGAATGACACAATTTCTTAGCTGATGATCGTGACATTCTGCACAATCTGTAAAGAGCAGAAAACAAAAATACATGATATATATATATATATATATATATATACATACATACATACAAACAAAAGAGAAGAAAAAATAAAAGTAAGTCAAAAAGGGATTCTAATGAATATGTTTTGTGTGCCAGAAACAAGTCATCAGTGTGCCATGTTTGGCACATATGCCAAGGGTTGCCCACCTCTGGTTTAGCATCATAGTATTAAGTAAATGTCCCTTTTGAATCAGATTTTAGCTCAGAAACCCAAGCAAATATTTATCCTTATCAGATCAACTTTGAGAAAATATATAATTTTAATATTTTCGTTTCTTGTCTCACTTTCCTCCTAATTATTTAAGACATCCTTCAGGGAGTTTTTGTGATTTATTGCTAATTTCCAATCACCTGTAATCACCATTTTTCATTCCCATGCAACAAAAACATCGAACAAGGAACAGCGACTTTTTACACTGAGGTGTTGGATCTTCAATTGAAAAGTAGGTGTCAACTTATTTCTCGTAATGATTAACCACCTACTCCCCCGGAGTAAAGTTAGAATTTCTTCATCTTTCAAGTGAGTTGAGTGTCTACCAAGCAGTATGTTGACAGGCCTCAAAGCACAACAATAGTGCTTGGTTCTGGGAAATACGATAATTTGTCGAATGAAAGAAAGTGCACTGCTCAAAAGAAGTGAATACAGAACAAGTGGCTTTAACTGGGAGAGTCTATAATTGTCTCGTTTTCATTTTGTTTTTAATTCTCTCACAATATAATTTTGCTTTTCCCTACTTTGCAGAGATTATTTGATGAAAGAGAAGCTAGATTAAAAGCTGTTCGAGCTAATATCACTGCTTCCATGTCGAAGGCTACTCCTGGTAAGTTGGATTCTATTCCTTCCTTCCTTCCTTTTTCTTGAAAATAATCAGAAATCTTTTTTCTTAACCCTTTAATGCTGACTGTAAAATCCAGTTTTGTTATAGAAATTTCCAAAGAGAGAGAAAAAAAAAAAAAAGAAAAATCATATATGTCCCTTGCCTCACCAATAGCACTAGAGTCTGAGTTTCATGCACATAATGTGCTATCTTCAGTTGTTGCGTAGAAACTCTATAGATGATTTATTGATATATAATCAGTAGCACTATTGTATTACATCTAGCACTAATTTATTAACACCAGCACTCAATGTGAGTTATCTTTATTTATTATATATAATGTCACCCACAGACACTGTTTCACTGTATCACAGTTCCTCAGTGTGGCATACGTCCAATTGCTTCAAGCCAGGATCAAAACCTGACTGATTTGACATCAGTCAAATATCTTACGTCTAGGCAGTTGATGCACGGCAGAAAGGAAGGGAATTTTAAAATCACTATATGAAAAATGCAAGCAGATCAGAGAACTCAATTTGTACTTGAAGAGTAATGCTTAATAGCAGTAGGAGCTGCTGTTTTTAAAACCCCCTTTCCCTAGAGAGTTCAACCAGATTTCTGGGAGCACTTGGCCACACACACACACACACGTGTGTGTGTGTGTGTGTGTGTGTGTGTGTGTGTGTGTGTGGCCAAGTGGTTAGAATATTAGAATATTTGCTTTCTGATCATGAGATCTGGGTTCAAATCTGACCATGGTTGATTTCTTACAAAGGTGACTTCCAGGTGTTAATAGTGTGTTAAGCCAATCCCATTGTGTGGCACCTTTGGAAAGTGACTGACAACCATATCACAAGCCGACTGAAGCCTTTCACTTGAAAGATATGCATGCACTACTAGTTTCATTCATTGGGTTACCCCTGTTATGAAACTTAACAAAGTTCATCACTGAGAACAAAGATTCACATGCATAGTAATGCTGTTGCAAGGGTTTTTTTAAAACGGACAAAATTTTCTGGAATGGTATTCTAAGTCCTTAATACTTCGTTTTCCACATTTCTCTCTGATATATTTCCATCTCTAATCATACCTTTTAAATATTTTCCAAGTCAACTTTAAGGTCAACAAATTTCTGCTTCCAAATTGAGCTACACTGAAATTCAATCAATTTTATTTCAAAATCATTCATGTCTATAGAATCTCTACTTGTGAGTGAAATTTGTTAGATGGAGCTGTTCAGAAGTTTTTGATGGTTGTGATGATCTAAAGATATCATCATGAACAAGAGTGCCATAATTCTGTGTTTTTGAAGATGTACAGCACATGCATCCATCCCAAACTAACAATTTTATCACAATTTAAACAATATTTATTTATTAAAAAAAAAAATTCTTGAATATTACTCATTTAGTTTTGTCTTACCAGAGTTTGAATTATGACACTTTGTGTCCTCCATATCTTTTGGCTGACCATTCAACCACTTGATGAATATTCATGAACATTTTCAAATTTAAAAGCCTTGATAAACCAATGACATCCTTGCTCTTGCACATGCAATAAAATAAATCCTTACATTTACTTATACTTGATAAAGTCCCTCAGATGATGAAACGTATCAACTAAGAATAGTTTTTCATCGTCTTATTCATTTTGTTCCTTTACAGATACACTCTTATGTGATACACACACACACACACACACACACACACACACAGGGTGCGATGGATAAATTTTCTAGATTATGCTAAAATGAAAATAAAACTGACATCTCATTTTAAGAGATATATTTACCAAAATTACACAAAAATATCTTGAAAGTCTAAAGAGTAAATTTATTTAAGAAAATCACCATTGGCTTCAACCGCGGCCTCCAGACGACTTTGGAATCTCCAGCAACTCCTCTGGATGGTTTCCTTCTTTAAGTTGGTGAATGCTGCCATAATTCTTGCCTTCACTTCATCTTTGGCATTACAAGTAGGTTGATTTCTCATTCAACTGTGCCCCACACAATAATCAAAAGAATTACAGTCTGGGGAGTTAGATAACTAGATGTAAGGGGTGATGTTGCAAAAATTGTCTGACAGCCATGACTGTGTCTCCTGCTTGTGTTGCATGGTGCAGTCCTGTTGCCAGATATAGGGTCTTCCAGCAGCCACCAGCCACCATCTTGACCCAGGGCATCACTACCTCCTCGCTTGATATAGGTCTCCATGTTGAGTCTGAGGCTCTCGCCTTATCAGAACAATCAGTGAGTTTTTCTGAGCTGCCGTACCTTTGTAATCATTAGACACATCCAACTCTTTTTGAATCCTCTGCACTGTCTTCAGATTGACACCCAAATACCCTGAAAAGCCAAATTTCTGGCAGAATGAATTGTGTCATGGTGTTCTTTTTCTCATGGGTGGTGCCCAACTGACCCTACTATATACTGTGCAGTTGACAAAAACAAACAACACACACGTGCAAAATGAAAAATATAAAATGGCGAAAATTTACCTATAGCACCCTGTATTGTGTGTGTGTGTGTATGGATGGATGGTATAAATGCTCACCATCCCCAAAATGTGTTAATATTGAATCGATTAGTTGTCAATCCTCTTGAGGGATACTCAGAATTTTTGTCTAATTATTAGAAAACAATTTTTTTTTAATTTTTACTTCAAAAGTTTTTTGTATATAAAACTATCAAAATTTATTCAGAATCTTAATATGCAGAGAAATAATTAAATTTTATTTTATTTTTTAAATTGTCTTAATTTTTAAAATAAGAGAAATTTCCTTTTAATGATCAGAGAGAACAGTAAAAATGGCATTTGTAGAAGACCCTGCTAAGCCTCCACGTGACGTCCGTCGGCGCCAACTGAAGTTTGGTACTGGTACAATTACCAAAGAAGCTCTGGGGCCTTATCGGACTTACAAACCAGTCAGCAATCAAACTCCCACATCTGCTCCCTCACGGTCATCTGTTAGTTCATCAGGCTCGGGACGGATCCAAGTCTCCCAGCAGCATCGAAGTAAGTTGCCTTGCCTTTTAGCTTTCTCTTTTTATTTGTATTGTTTTCACTTTGCTGTTATATTAGTAGAGGGGCTTTATTATGAATTTATTTTTCATGGAAACAGAAAAACAGAATGGGCTACTTGAAATGGAATTTTTTTTCTAACAGTAAGATTTGTCAATTGCTATTTTAATTTGTTACTATCTTTGCCTTTTGTAATTAACTCGTCTGACAAACATCAAAGGATAAAGTCAGTAATGTTTTAATACATCTACAGTTTACAGTATTTAGGAACCAAGTTTTCCAAAGTTTGCTTGATGGGGTTGGACAAAAAAATTTTGTCTTTTTGTTTTATCCTTTCTTTTTCCTATCACACATGGTGACAGGGGTTGGGGTAGGTTGTCATTTCAAAAAGCCAAATTTTATGAATTAAACTTTTTTCAAAAATGTTATTTAATAATTTCAATGATGTGACTAAACGGTAATGTAGCTTTTTGTCTCTAGATGACTTTGTGCTGCTAATTTTCTGTAGGTTTTGCCGCTTTCACTTAATTCTTATTTAGGATTGTAGAATTAATTGCAAGGGTTATCCCAGAAACTCATCAAGTTAGGTTATGAGGTGACCAAAAAGCTGGAGCAATTTATCCAATGGGTGGATATTCCAGCCAGTAAAATTTTTCATTTTCCTTTTATTCTTTTATTTTAATAACATTTATTGTTACACTTTCTAAGTATTGAGGTATAATGAAGCAAAAACAGAAAAAAAAAAAAATAGAATTCTCTAAAACAGAAAAATGGTCTCTCTGTATTAGCAATATTTTTATTTCCAATTTATTATTAGTAATAATTTATTTAATTTTTTTTTTTTTTTTTCCTTGAATGATTTTTTTTTTTTTTTTTTATCCTTGAATGTTTTTTTTTTTTTTTTTTATCCTTGAATGATTTTTTTTTTTTTTTTTTTTTATCCTTGAATTTTTTTTTTTTTTTTTTTATCCTTTAATGATTTTTTTTTTTTTTTTTATCCTTGAATGATTTTTTTTTTTTTTTTTTTTTGAGACTCGCTCCAAAAGTAATGCATCCTATGTATTTTGATGGTGCAAGTTTTCAAGTACAAAATACTTTCTCTGCAGAGTCTCTTGTAATGTAGCTTGTAACATTGTTGTTACTACTGTTGCAACATATTACCCACTGTGTTACTGTGCTCGCACTACTTGTTTGGTCTCTGTAAATATTCAGCCAGTGTCATTGAATTTCAATAGGTGCAATTTTTTTCCTGAAGAAATTCAAGAATATGCTTTCATCCCTGATGCTATTTTGCCAGACTGCCTCTCGGCTCTTATCTGTAACTAGTCAAAACAAAACCTGGATTATTAACAAAAAAGCGCCCTCACTAGGCCATAGCATCTGGCTCTGACATTGTAGTGCAACATTATAAAATAGGGTGCAAGTTTATTTTCTTTTTTTTCTTTTTTTAAAAATTTAAAAAAAAAATTTTTTTATTTATTTATTTTTTTTTTTTTTTTACACCATTTGTTGGCAAAAATTACTCAAAGACATAAAGTAAAAATCAAGTTACTTAAATATTATCATCTAAATGTTTTGAACACTAAAGTTAAGCAATGTCTAGCCTGGTCAGTACCTAGATGGGTGACTGCTTGGGAATACTAGGTGCTGTAAGCTTGGGGATGTGTCAATAATGGCTTGGAAAGAAATACTGGATAGCAGAGTTCATTAGGTTCATTTATGTGCAAATGGCCCTGGGGAGGGGAGGGGAGATGAATCTCCTTCTCCCTCTCAAGCTATGGATTAAATAGGACCTGAATCCTTGTTACAGGTAAAGGTTCTTTCCAACTCTTCCAATATGCTTTGAGCCAGCAACAGAAGAGGATGGATTGCTCACTAACCAGTTGACAATACCAAATGAACTCTGGAGAGAGTTGTCATGTGAGTGCACATTCTACTGTAGGCAGAGAGACCTAAATGTTTCATTTCAATAAAATTTGAAATGCTCTTCAAAATGGAGACATTCATTTTCTAGTTTTGTAGCAGATGGGAGAGTCTGTGGTGATGGTTGTTATTATTATTATGGCAAAATGAATGAAACACAGCCAGCATGAATGGAATGCAACTGAAGTGTGAGTAAATGATGATTGTGTGTCATTCAAACACACAAAGATAGTTACATATGTAAAGTACTAATGTCCTACACCCCAGGGAATGAAAAAACTAACTTCCATAAAATTTATACTCAACTATTTGATTACTTCCTCTTACTAACTAATCAACGAATGGAGAATTTTAAGATGAGTACAATCGCCATCATGTTACTCTCATTTCAGTTGCATTCTATTCACACTGGCTGTGTTTGATTTGTTTTTTCACGTTGATTATCAGTACATACGTTTTTTTTTTGTTTTTTTTTGTTTTTTTTCAAGACAAGTGATGTTTATACAAAGATTTGTATTTTTTACACTTGTAGTAATGACAACTGGTTGCTAAAATTTGTTTGACCAAAGGACCAAACATTAAATTTTATATTGAACTGCTTTTTTTGGTCAGACAGAGATTTTTCAGTGCCCCCCCTGTACTCTAATTATGAGAAAAAAAAAAGAACAATTTCCAAAACTGACATAGGCTACATGCCTTAAAAATTACTATATTGAAGAAATTGAAAACACTGTTGAATTATTTTTTGTCAGCAGAGGCACGTAATGATCTCATAATTTTTGTACATAGTTTTTGCACATAGTTTTTGCGTGCATTTTATTTATTAATTTTTTTCTCTTCTTTTTTAAATCTTTACAGCTACCAAAGTTGTTGCTCCAATGATGATGAAAACCATGAAAATGTTGAAACGAATGCAGAGACGGTGATCAATTTGATCTCCAACCCCACAATCCCGCCTGTCATAGCAACTTAACACCCTACCTTACCCTACACCACCCCACCCCAATTTCTTCTCCTTTTCTTCCCATTTTTGATACCTGATTGTGAAGAGTGTTTGATCCCCTGAGGAGTTCATTGTTGCAATTGAGTGTCTTCGTTTTTTTTTTTCAATCTGGACCTCACCAACTCTAGCCTTAACAGAGTTTTATTTATTTTGTTTTTTTCCTTTCTAAAAACAAATGTTTCAGGTGTGAAAAAACAAAAAGACAAAGTCGTTGAGATACCTAGACAGACAGATATGTGAATAAGTTTATTAAAAAAAAAAAAAAAGGTCAAACAAATTTCAGCTTCCAGATAGTAAAGAAATGCTTCAGGAAAGGGAGGATTTCAAAATGTTTTTTGTTTTTTTTTCTTTTAGTGTCTTTTGTTCTTCTTTGCTGCTTTGTAGATCATTGAAAATTGAATTCATTTCTATCAACAAAATGACTTCAGTAAGAGGGAGACAAATTTCAATGACAGAAACTAAGTACTTGGACCAACTTTCAATACTTTTAACATATCATACTCTATCAAATTTGTTTGTGAAAATTCAAGAATTAAAATAAAAGTAACTTGATATTTTCAATAGTTTACTCATTGAAAAAAAAACATTTGATCTTTTGAGGTTTTGAAAGAGAAATACATTTAAAAATGAATTTATTTTAATTTATCACATTTTTCCTTTTGGGTAGGGGGTGGTCCTTTTTACAATCGGTTTATCTGTGATTACCGATGAACATTTGTTTTTACAATCAATTCATTCTGGATGTTATGTAGCATTTGACCAAGATCAGAGTTTATTGAATGAAATGTTCATTGTGCAAAAAAAAAAAAGAAGCAAATTCCAAGAGAAATTGAAAAAAAAAAAAAAAAAGATGCTGTCACTTTTATCAAAAATTGAATTGAAAACGAAATTTGTTGACTTTCACTACTTATTGTTTAATAGTTCGTTAGGTTTAAATTGAGATTTGTTGTTTTTTCTGTTTATTTAAATGAGGCAAATTCGAAAAACAATGCAAGGGAATCTTAAACATGAGAATCTCTACAAAAGAATTGATACACACCTAAAAATAATCGATAATACAATTATATTTAATTTCTAATTTTCCAAACATTATTGTTTGTGATCGTTAGCAGCACAAATTTCTTGTTCTTTAGAATCATGTTCATATCTCATTTCTTTTTTATTTTACTTTTTTTCTTCCAATGTCAACATTTTAAGACCTAGAATTTTTATAGGTTTTTAGGAATTGTCTCCCTTTATAAATTTTCATAGGTTGGAGTCAGGTTTTTGTTTTTTTTTTGTCCAACTGACAATATGCATTTCCTTCCATGTTGAAGCTGGAATTGAGTTTGATTTGTTATATATATATATATATAGTAAAAATAAAGTGTACAGTTCAATAAAAACTAAATTTTTAAGATAGTCATGCTATGTAATTTGGATTCAACCAAGTTGGGTAGCAGATTTTTTTGTTTCCCAATCAGAATTAAATATTGTCCATGAACAATGACTTTGAAATTGGATGAATCTGAAATCTTGAGATGAACTTTTTTTTTTTTTTTTTTTTTTCAACTAATTTGAAAGCCTTCACACTCAATTTATCCTTTTCTCTTTAGAGAAATGGGGAAACATTCCTCCCACAATTTTTCTTGTATAAAAATAAAATCCCTTTTGCTTAAATATTGGCATTTTTATTTATTTCTATTGTAAATTGTCATTGAACCTTAATATCCAGTAACTATGCTGATTAATATTTTTAGAATTTTTATCAGCAACAGGAACTTTTTGCTTATCAGCACACGATGTCGTGGTGGGGGGGGGGGGGCTTTGTGAGTAAAATTTACTTTAGCTGTTATTTTAAAAATTGTTTTTACTTTTTTTTGTATATGTATTTTTCCTGATTTCAGAAAGCCTAAGAAATGTTAGAAAATTGTGAAAGATGATTTTTACAATATAGTAACATTTAAACACTGCCCCCCCACTTTTTTTTTTTGAGTTCGTAACCTTTATTCCCTTTGGTTGGAAGGAAAGGTGCCATAACTTGCCTTTTTAAAGTGGAGCAGTCCATCTAGTTAAACTATAGATGGGTCGTTTGTCTCTTGGTTTATTGTAAAGAACAAAAAACAAACTATAAATAAAGATTCAAATTCTGTTGCCTTGTTAAAAAGGCTTTTTCTTTTTAAATTGATTCTGGCTTTTACTAGTTGAACCATGAAATTGCTTGGAGAGCCGTTTATTGGTGTTACCCACAGATGCCTTGTAGTAAGCTTAGTTGTAAAACTTTGCTTTAATGAATGTAAGTTGAGTTCTGAATGATGTCCTTTTTAATTCTAACTCCTTTGATGATCTTAAAATATATAAAGTTGTTTTGCTTTTCTCATTTCTCTGGAATGTTAAAAAAGAAAATTTGTTTTTGACATTTTTTTTTTTTTTCTGTCTTTCATTTTTAATGAACCAAACTCAAAACTAACCTGTCTGCTGGGGGTGAAATGACTTGATTTTTCACACTTGCTTCCCAAACCCCCCATTTTTTTTTTTTTTTTTTTTCTCTTCTAAAGTCAAAAATAAGGATTAAAATTATCATTATTTTTTTTCTGTAAACATTAAACCAATTTTACAAACCACATCCTAATAACCATCTGATGTGGTTAACAAAACTGAAAAACGGCTACATTTTTTCCATGTATGTAAATATCTTGTAAAGTTTAGGAAAATTAAAAATAGGTGATACATATGAATTTGGTAATTCATTCCCAAATCTTTATTTTTTTTTTTTTTATGTCAGCCTCTCATCTTTCCTGACTTTTTTTTTTTGGGCACCAGATATTTTTTCTTTGGATTGTAAAATTTTTTTAAAAAAACTCCTCTAATCTGATCTGTTCACCCAAATATTTCCTCACAAACCTGAGATTCAGTCATCTCATCTCGTTTCTTTTTTTTAACTTTCTAGAATGAAATTTGTCTCAATTTATTACAAAACTACATAAAGTATCTATGGTAAAATTTTTATTTTTCAATGACTCTAAAGTTCAAAAGGATATGTGAAAATTTTGTTTATTTTTTATAGCTGCTTAATATAAAATCAAATATTCCTTGTGCCAACAGCATAGAATAGAAGGCCAAAAAGCAAGAAGTTATCTTTGCACTGTAATCAAGTTCTCTCTCCTATTTTGTAATTTATTGCTAACACGTTTTCTGGAAATACAGCGCTTAATTATTTTACTTTTTTTTTTTTCTTTTCTTTTCTTTAGAAGCATTTCACTAAGTGCAACTTTAATTAAGCCTTCATGACTTAAGTGTGCAGTGAATATAATGAAAAGTTAAAATATTACTTAATGTAGTTATGAATAATACAAATTACAGTTCGTAAGTTAATTTGCCTCAGGATAATTTTTTTTTTTTTAAATAGTTCAGTATTTTCTAAATAATAATAATAAAATTAAGTAATAAGTCTTTTCTATTTATTTTTGTAACCCGTCCAAGTTCTTGTAATCCTTAAAATACAGTCAAGGGGACATAAAGGTTGTAATATATATATATTAATCCAAACATTTATTATCCTTGTTCTCAACTGGATAAGTGACCCAAAGTAATTTTTGACTGTATATGAATGATGCTGATGTCCTGGGCAAATATTGCCAGCCTTTTTTAACATTTTATTTTATTTTTTTTTTATTTTATTTTGAGGAGGAAAAAAAAAATGAATGCCTGTACAAAAAATTCTGAAATAAAATCTGAATTTACTTCACATTGGCCTTTTTTTTTTTTTTAATGGGTCTTTGTTAAGGTACCCAACCAAGTTAAGGCTTGACAACCTGCCAAACTTTATTATTACCAGTCTTTTTTTATACATATCCTTTGTTGTGTGTGTTTTTTTTTTTTTTTTCAAAAATTTCTTTTAATAGAAAAATTTATCTAGTAATATAGATATTTGTTGGCACAAGGTTGGATTTGAAGAGACCTAGTCTCAATGGCTTTCAAGATCAGCACACTAATACTTCTATTAGCATTTGTCTTCCCTAATTTATTTCTATCAAGTTGTTTTTTTTTTATTGGTTACAATCTTATTGAAGGCCTAAGGTTATCAAAACATTTGCTTTTTAATCAGATTTAAACAAGAGTAAATTTAAAATGCTGTTTTTTATATCCTAAATTATTTCCATCAAATTTTGTTAAAATTGTTCTCCTAAACTCCTATTTGAAGTTTACCTGGTCTTTTATGTAGAAAATAAATGCTTAATACGATTTCATCTTGTACAGCAGCAATCATCTTTCCTGATTGTTAGGAATTATTTTCTTTCTGAAAATTAATGGTGAAACTTGTCTTACCCTTGAGAACACTGGACCAGATTGCTAACAACTGTACCTGATCATTGGTAAGTTTAAGTGAAGTCGTATCTTGATTCAAATTAAAGCTTCACAAATTGCGTTGAAACAAAACTCTTTGAAATTCATTTAGAAAGACACTACAATTTTTAAATATCTGTACATAGATTTATTCAACCATACATGTACTATTTTGTTCTCTCATTTGCCTTCTTTGAGGCAGCTTCACAATTCCATCCTCCCAGAACATGGCCTTGTTCTCAGTGTTCCTGAGAACTAATGTTTTCATGAAGATAATTTTGTAGGGACCGAAATAAGTGGTAACCTGAAAGTGTAAAATCAGGTGAGTGTGTGGCAAGATGTCCCAGCAAAGTATTACCAATTTTTGTTGGGTCTGCAAAACAACATGAGGTCTAGGGCTGTCCTAATGAAGGAGGACACCATTCCAATTGGCGAATTCTGGACACTTTATCAGTTGGATTAATTTGGGAACTGTACTTGTTTGAATTTAACATCTGATTTTGTGGAAGGAGCTTATAACACAATGTCTGAATCTCACCAAATGCACAGCAGCAGCATCATCAGGTGCAGGCTGGCTTTTGAAACCATGATTCATTG